TTCCACAGTAGTTCCTAATGGCTTATACATACTATTATTCCTTTCTCTGTTTAACCTATATAGGAGAAACAGCAGTTAAAGTAGCAAGACCAAGATGGGCCTTCTTAAGGAACATTTTGTTTTTTTTTAACCCAACTACCAAAACTCAAATGAGCTTTGCCCCCCACTTCAGAGCAAACATCTCAGAAGGCTGCTATACATCCACTCCAACAATGCTACACCACTATTGCATAAAAACAATTTAGGATTCCTATTTTGAGAACTACCTTCAGAGCCTATTGCACAGCTTCTTAATGCCTTTATTAGTGGCAAATCTTCACTTCTTTACTGCAGACTTTGGTTTAACATTCAAAAGTGATTCAGAGACAACTTGGTGACTAAGGTAAATAACCTGAGTAATACTGTTTTTTAAGTCAAAAATCACATATAAATGTAAAGTATTAAACTAATTTTACCTGTGCCTCTGCCAACAGTTTCAAAAGAAAAGTTTCAAATCATATAAGGATATTCTTTGAAACAAAACTTTTTGTTTTGCCTTATTAAATATGGTTATAAGTAAAATTAAAAATTTATTTTTTAAATGTTAAGTTATTCTACTTCTATAAAGGATTACTATATATTGTCCAAATTTTTGTAACGTTCGTTACCAATTCTTAACATTATCTTACAAATATTGGTTATATTCAACAAAGGTAGTAATAATGTTTACAATCAATTACTATGTAGTTGCTAAGTGAACCACACAATCAGAATTATTTCATGGGATTTAACCCTCAAATTAAACATCACCTATTCATGCAGAAATACAGAAAAGCAGGTAACTGAAGAACTGTGATATTTGGAAATACAAATACAAAACAGATCGAAACTACGGCACTGATCCAAACATGTAACAGAGGTAAGAAATACGACCTAACAGACTCAAATAAAAACACAACAAAAAACCTTTAATCTTAAACTGCTCAAGTTTCCTACAGCGCTTAAATATACTTGGAAAAGTATTATGGCATTTTTATTTTAAAAGCATAAACCAGTACTGTGTATTAAGAAATTTAACTCCTTCTATCATCTTCCCAACATCATTTCAGAGGTGTTTTAATCATCATTTCTAATCCCATGACTATTGTTCTTGTATTTATATTTCTCAACACTATCAACATCTCCCCGCCCCCATGAGAAATTTGCTATTAAAGGAATCAATTCATCAACAAAAGAAAATCCTTGTCTAACTCATGATTTATCATTCTCTAACTCAAGTAGTCCAAGAACAAAAAATAATCCAGTTTTCCCAGTGAAATTAAGAGATATAAACTGAAGTCATCAAGCTCTCCCCATAATGTGGAGGAGCAGATAATTATCGTTGTGACCTTTAAACTTAAGTAAAATTTAAGATAGTTCCTTATAAAATCCTCCATAAATCTCATTTCCTTAAAGTTACATTTTTATACCTTCAAACACCTTCCTAAATTATACAAGATCTCAGCAATACAGTAACACAGGCTTTAGAGTCAAGCAACCTGGTACTACAACTTTCTAGCTGAGGACCCTTGAGCAACTCTAATGACTTCTGTGTGACTCAGTTTCCCTATATATAAAATGAGAATAATAATAACCATACTTCACAAGAGGATTATGAGATACTCCATGTAAAATATGTGGTATATTGCAAGCACTCAATGAATGTTAGCTACTAATACCTACCTTACTATACCAGGAATAGTAGTATGTATCTGCAATTAAATATAGCATTCAACATTTTAGCATGTCTTAAGTGCTTATTCTACTTACCTTGCCAATAGGTTCACAACAGCAATTCAATTTATTATTTGTGCTATAACAAAACCATTTTTATATTTGTTGCTAAAACAAATCAAGTAAAGATGTTTAAAGTGGCCTATGCACTTTCTATTTTAAATACATATTCCAAAATCTGAATTTTCCAATTCTCATATGGAAAAATATTTAAGTAATATCAAACCTTGGCAATCTAAACTAAAATTCTCTCTTCAATTTAGTTATCTATCATTCCAGTCAATTCAGAGCCAAACTCATTTAAAGGTACATAAGCATAAATTATGAGTAACAATTTCTTGCTAAATTAAGTTGAAGTAATTAGTTTTGTGCTCACAGAACTCATTCAAAGAGGTTCAGTCTTACTTGTACATCTATGTAGTGTATGTGAAACAGTCCAAAGAAGTTCAGGAACATAGAAGAATTAAACTTTTTAAGTATGAACTTTCGGCAAGATGGGAGTTCTGTAGTCCTAAGCCCTAAATTTATAATATAACTCTTCCTGTTATTTTTCCATAACTAGATGAGCAGAGGTGGACCAATTTGTTAGATAGCTTCCTTTATTTCGCCTGTCTCCAACAGATTCTTATGGAACCTTAAGACTAGAACCACTAATACTAAGTTGCAAAGATGGAACAGAACATTTAATCATGATAGGTTGTGGCTGACAAATGCTCTAACTGGCCTTAAAACTTTAAAATCTTTTATTTTAATTGCCATTTATGATTGCATCAGTAAAACCTATGCCACACATTTCTGTGTTTTAAAGCCTGCATGAAGTTATTTATGAAAATCATTCAGAAAAGCTGCAAGGTTACCAATGTCCTAATACTTTCCCTTACTATTACTATCTACAAGGTAGTGATTCTTCATACAGTGCTTTGCCTTTGATGAGTGCTCAAGAAGTATTGTTTACCAACACGAATCTCTGAAAAAGACTAATCAATGTGCTGCAAAGACAGTATTAATTAGGACCCAAATCCTTCATTCAAAAGGAAATATTCCTTATTTTATAAATTTAAGACACGGGTTGAGTATTAAAGATGGTGATGTGCGAGTGAGACAGACACCTCCTCCCAAAACCACATATAATATGAAAATGTAATTAATACAACTAATTCTAAAAGAGCAGCAGGAAAGAAGGCTGCACCAGACTGCATACCTGCAGAAAAGAGCAGACCTCTTGAAATGGGAGTGTATATCAATGATACCTTAATAAAAAAAGATGCTGATGCTGGCTTTTTAAAAAAAAAGTTTTATCAGAATATTTCAATTTAAAGTTCTCATAACAACCAAGTCACAAGTGCCACCTGGCTGATGGCAACTGTAGGACTTCCTGGATTCTAAGACATCCCAATTTCAGAAGAGTTAAGAACTAGAAAAATATGCACCTTGGAATCAACTTAATAGGGTAAAAACATTTCTATAAAATACTGAGGTGCTATATTTTTGACATGGAAAAAAATGCTAAAATTGCATTTAGTGCCCAAAACCACTGGACATTAACTATGTCTCCATTTACAGTATTGCCTCAGTTCATCTAACACTGAAGAGGAAGCTCCCAGAAAAGGTTACAGCTAAAGCCTTAAGAGGTATTCTCAAAGTGACAGGAAAAAATTAAAAATATGAAATTTTTAACTGACTGTAAGTTTCTCATCATTCAACTCTTTAAAAACAGGAGTACATTTATAACTTTAAAGTTAATTTTGTCTCTAAGTTGCCTATCCAAATCCCTTAAAACAGGGATTTTTAACCTATCAGTTAAACCTCTGAAAATGTATATGAACTAGTTTATGTGTGCCCTTTTTCTTTTCAGAGAAAATTTATCAATTTTTCAAAAAGATCCACATACCAAAAAGACTAAGAATCACTTTCTTAAAAGAACTGTTTCTTTCATATACTGTCAGTCATAAAATAGACTATGTTATAACCTCAAGGACACTGCCAGGCACAAAGACTAAAGTTGGAGGTTTTTTGGTGGGGGAAAGACAGAAAATAGATTCATTGATTCTAGAACAAATTAAAATAATGCATATTCTTTATTTTTAAAAACAATTATTGAAGTTTCTTTAATATAAGTCAAAGTATTAAGTCTGATAAAGTATTAAGGAAAATGAGTATAAAACAAACACTTCCCAAATTATCAGTTGGGAGTTTTCTAAAAATGGAACATACATGTATTTCATTCCCTTCATCAGATTACTGAATAAAATCAAAACGAGGAAAAGTTAACTGTGATACTTTAAACTTTCTGTATCATTTACACTCTTACGCTATGCACATCACCAAAGAGGTATTTGCATTTCTGATCTCTAGACTCACTTGCTATCATGATTTTAGATAAATAAGCAGGAGTTCCAAGGAGGTTCTATACCAAAGCAGCCACACTAAGATATGCACGACTATCAGAAGTTGTTTGAAAAGACAGTTTTTTTTTAAAGGAATTGAGATGAGCTTATTATAACTCATTATTAACTGCTTACTTGATCAACGATTCATCCTTCCAGTAACATAACAGGATTCCAACTTGCTCCACAGTAGTAAAATTAAGTTCAGAGGTGTTCTCAGTATTCTAAGCCATCTACTACTTTGTTTTGTAATGACTGACCCATATAAGAAAAATTCGAAGCAGCAAAACAATTTGCCCAGTAAATCAATGAGATCCAGAAACTGGACAAAAAGACAGCAAAGCTAAAAAAAAAAAGGATTTCATAATATCAGAAAAACAGACCCAAGAAACTACCTTTGGCCATCATATATTAATAACCCCTCCCTCCCAAAGCTAAGAATCACGCAGGTTCAGGATACTTAACAAAAAGCAGGATTAATCACAAAAAGTTTGTGCAATACAGGTCTCAGAAGTCTCTACCACAATAGATGCCACAATTAAAACAGACTGGAGCCAACTTATTTCACGGTGAAAAAAATCAATCAGAAGCCTATTAATATGTAAAAGTTAAAGGAGTTACAGTGTGAAAAGTTAAAAGAATGGCAATCCCACTGCCCTCAGAAACTATTATGCAAAATAGAGTAAAGAATTTAACTTGAAAATAAATTATACTAAATGTGCAAGGACTATCTTTTGATAAGGGAGAATTCTGGTAGAGAAAGATCTGTGCCAACTTTTAACTGCAGCTGCAGTGGAACACACTAAAAGCCTTGTTTTAAGACAAAAAGAGTAAAATAAAAAATTACAGTTCTAAACCTACCATTGTTAACTGCCCACAACCATAAATTTCCCTTTTTCCAACGAAGGACTTCTGGAATAAAAGGCTATATACAATAAGGAAAAAAATAAAGAAAATGAAATTTAACAAAATTTTTATGCAAGGCTAAAACATAAAATGTGTTTAAGAATTTTCATACATTTTTTACATGTCACAGCTAAAGGTAGACACAAAGATTAAGAAGTCTAACACATACAATGAAACTGGAGACTAAGCCAGATTCTTTTTAAAGAGGACTGAAATTAAAAAGCATTTAATTTAAATCAGTATCTGTTACAGGGAGTATTCCTTCCATACTACCTACTCTCAACTCAGGATCCTCCACACTCCTTTCCCAGTTATTTAAGCAAAAACATATAATTTGCAACCCATCATTTCCTTTCATATATTGTTTTGCTTATTTTTTTAAACTCCGTTGGAGTGAGATTATTCTAACATTTACCTTGACTATCAATTGTTCCAAACAATACTTCATGGAAATTAAATTTTATTTCACTTAAGTTATCCAGTAGATTTTGCTAAATAATGCTTTGCAAGAAAAGTTATAACAAATTCCATTTTGTGCAACTAATTCTTCCTGCATCTATAAATGAAAATTTACACTTTAGAGAATGTGCTTCAACATGGACACAGCATACCTTTCCCAATTTGTCCCTAATAACTTGTATGTTTATTTAATGACTTTAATATTTGCATCTGAAAAGTACAGTGTATGGTGACCACAAAAGATGAAGCACAGAGTTGATCAGGGTTCCACTCTTACACAGTATTCTAAAAACCTGCTTCACTAGGTATTCAGTAACTATCACAGGAGTGAATTATAAAACATGCCCTTATCAATTACTCACATTTTATACAAAGTTGACCCGATTTCAAACCTGAAACTGAGGCTTTACTTTCAGAAAGGTAGAAAACAAAAGTGATTAGGTAGCCCTAAAAATATACATTATAACTACATGACTAAGACACTCATTTAAAACTTTTGCCAAAATAGCCCCTCCCCTCATAACAAAGACTCACTGCTTTATTTTACTTCATTTTGAAAAGAAATTAAAAGGATTTTTAAGCACTAATTTCCTGTTTCTTCCCCCACGATTTAAAACATTCTACCTTCAATCTGCGATTCATCCTTTCATATACGGTAAAATAAAAAAAAAAAAAAAAAGAACACTGGGTTCAAAAACGATATAACCACTGCTCCAAAATCATGGAAAACAATAGAAACAATGTCTACGATCGCTGTCTAAGGAACCTCTACTCTCTGAAATTATCTCACCTCAGATGATACTTTTCATCTGTGAGACTACCCTCTTTGCTGAGCAAAAGGTTTCAATTTTGTCTCCCCGAGTGGGAAACTATCAGTCTCCCTACCATTCCACCCTCTATGAATATTTCTACATGTAGAGAGGAAAATACAAACAAACAAAACAGTGAAGTTGGTGGCAGGGTGAGGACAAAGGGCATTTTGAAACACCACTGAAGTAAACAGAGAAAGAGAACAGAAAGGGGCTAAATTAAAGTTCCCTCAAGTGGATCATGGCAAGAAAATGCAGGCACCCTTGTTTACCACCACTAGGTCCTATTCTTCATTACCACCCACTGGAGCGCAAAGTTGGAACTACCACCATCAAATCCTCAACACGTCAGGCCACTGGCTGCCTCTGGAATGACGGGCTAATACCCCTCCCCCACCCCCAAAAAGGTACAGTCCAATAAGTGCGGGTCATTCTGCCCTCTGGGGCAGTGCCAGCCTGCGCAGGGGATGGTTCTGATCCGAGGACAAGAGAGGAAAGACGGATCACCTTTCTTCCCACACACCCTCAGCTGGGCAAACAAAACAAAGACAGCCCTCCTCCGGTAGCCACTACCCTAGTCAGAGAGACTTTCCCATTTCCCGGTGCAGGCTGGCCTCCCGCCCCCGCCCCCATGACAAAGAAAAGGCACTCGGTGAGCTAGGCCTTCCTGCCTCCACGGATGGGGGAGGGGGCTGCCGAGGTGAGGAGCCCCCTCCACACACCCGCGCTTACACTCTTGGCTCCGAAAACGGCGGACCGAGGGGGCCTTCCTCGGGGGAAGCCTGGTCCGGGAGGGGTGGGAGTACCTTGAAGTAGCCGCCTTCGTAGAGGGTGTTGGGGGGTCCGAAGATGGCAACCTCCCAGTTGTAGAGGTCGGACTCATCCACCAGGGTGATCCGGAAGCCCTCCACCGGTTCCTCCTGCAGGGATTTCAGCTCCAGCATCAAGGCCTTCTGAGAGCTGGTCATCTGCTGCTGGGCCATAGCGGCGGCGGCGGCGCCGGGCCGGGCCGGAGCCCCAGTCCTCACGCACCGGCCGGGCCGGAACAGGCCCCTACCCTCCGCTCGCGCTCGCCGGGCCGCACCGAGCCCCTGTCTTCACACAACCAGAGGACCGGATCAGGCCCCAGACGGCCCGTGGGCCGGCCCGGGTCCTCCTCACACACGACACGGGCTGGGCCGGGCCCTTCTCCTCACTCGGCCAGGTGGGGGAGGGGGCGAGGGAGTTAGGGGAATCCGGTCCCTGGCCTCCCCCCCCCGGAGGGGGCCTCTACTTGGCAGGGGGGGGGAGAGGTGGTGGAAGCGGTGAGAGGCGGCGGAGGGCCGGCGGTGGTGAGGGGAGGGGGCCGAGCTGGCCCGGGAGCGCCGCGCTCTCTAGCCCTCTGGTTCTCTTCGGGGGCTGCCGGGGCCGAAGGGCGCGCGGGGCCGAAGGGCGGGGGTGTGAGGCGCGTGGGGGTCTCGCGGCGGCGGCGGCGGCGCGGGGGGAGGGGCGATGGCGGAGGAGGGGGCGAAGAGCCAGAGCGCCTCGCGCCGCGGGAGCGACGGAGCGAAGAGGAGGGAGGGAGGAGGGAGGAGGGCCGCGCTCCGGGAGGGAGGGCGGCTCTCAGCGGCAGGCGGCCCGACGCGCGTGCGCGCACCCCTCCTTCCCCCACTTTCCTCTCCCTCCTCCCTGTCCTCCTCCCACCTCCCCGCCTCTTCTCCACCGCCCGGCGCGGTGGCGACGCTTTGTGACGCCGGCTCGTGTCCCCCGCCCTTAAAGGGCCTAGAGGCTGTGCGGGCCGAAGGCGGCTGTGGCCCCTTCGGTCTTTAGCCCCGAAGTGTCTGTGTGGATCGACGGTGCGTTTTACAAGGTGAACCGGCGACTGCACCTCGAGTCCTAGAACTGTCAGCGTCCCCCTTACCCCCAGGCTTATCCACAGGTCTCCTCAGCAATCCTCCAGGGATACCTGGTCTTTTGCAGGCCCCTGCCCTTGACAGTCTGCTATCTATGCACTTAGTAGGTGCTCGACAAGGATGTGCAGAGAATGTGGGTCTTATAGGTGGGAACAAGCGTCCCGACATCATTTCTGCAGGTCTGGCCTTCACGCCAATGTATCCTTGGAGAGTGGGGTGTCACCCACTTGGGGGTTGGGAGCAGTTTCCCGTCAGAGAAATGGGGAGGCAGGCCAGCTTCTACTTCCCTTTTAAACACAAAGAGGAAGTTCTGAGAAGAGAGAAATAATACAGAATGAACCTGGGTTCTTGACCCTCTCTCTACGATTTGGGACACATGCTCTAGCTAACCCTCAGGTTGCATTTGTAAAATGAAGTCTTTTCGTTGAACTTTGACCCCCGACAGGACCTTTCAACTTGAAGATCCAACTTAGAACTGAGGGTCTATTAAGATAATCATTACTGAAGTGAAATGTGGAGACAACTCTTCAATTCCCGTGATTTAGATCCTCTTAGGAAGGCATGTTCTATAACTTCCTAACGTTTCCTAGAAAAGCTGGGTTACTGTGAGAGTTCAAACACTTGGAATTTGGAGATCAGAAAGATCCTAGGTTCCAACCTTGGCTCCACCATTTACATTATCCCTTCCTTTTTCACTAGCTCTGTAAAAGAGGGTTAATCATACTTAACATAAGCAGTTGTAATAATTAAATGAGATCATCTGTATACAGCGTTTAGCACAATGACTGGCAGGGTAAAGTAGGAACTTCAAAGGAAGAAAAAAATGTTATAGGCTAGTTATATTCTGATACCATCCCCTCCTTTTTTTAATAAGACTTCTTTAACAACAGATTTGGATTTAATAGAAAGTTTGAGATGATAGTACATAGAGTTCCCATATACTGGCCCCAATTTCCTGTATATTTACTACAGTTAATGAACCAATATTGATATATTATTAACTAAAGTGTTTACTCACATTTCCTTAGTTTTTACTTAATGCACTTTTTCTGTCCCAGATACCATCATGGACACCACGCTGTATTTAATTTTCATGTTTTGTTAAGCTCCTCTTGACTGTGACAATTTATAAGACTTCCATTGTTTTTGATGACATTGAAAGTTCTGAAGATTACTAAAATACGTTATACAATGTCCCTCAACTAGGATTCATGATGTTTTTCTCATGATTAAACTGGAGTTACAGGTTTTTGGGTAGAAGACGACAGAGGTAAAATACAATTTCATCATATCATATCAAGGGCACATAAAATCAACATGACTTATCCAGTGTTGATATTGACCGCAATCACCTGGCTAAGGTAGTGTGGCAAGGTTTTTCCACTATGAAGTTACTCTTTTTACCTCCTTTCTATACTGTTCTCTTTAGAAGTTAGCCACTATGCACAGCCCACACTGAAGGAGCCCCTTCATTTTTTTTTCCTCAGAGATGATGTCTCAGTATTTTCAAGAATCATTCCCTAGTTCCCAACTCCTCTAAGTCTTGAGACCAAACTCTACTGTAATTAAAGCTCACTTCAGAAGACAGGGAGTGTCTTAGTCAATGCAGCCCCTCCTCCCAAAGTGATGATGTAGACTTTCTGACTTCCCCTCCTCCACCATTTAATTTAGAGATGAGAAGATTACTGACCTGGAAATGGGGGAAGTGTTGATGCCTTTAATGACAAGGCTATTAGTAGACAAACAGGCAGAAAGTTCGTCTTCAAAGCATCTCACCCACATAAACTCACCATAGCCTCACCCTGACCCACAGAATGGTAGATTCCTAGCCTAACATACACCTGGCAACCAGACCAGAGTACTCCCTGGGCTATAATCAACTCACAAAATCATACTAATGTCCACAATGAGCAGGGCCCTAAGGTGGGTGGCTAATATACATATGCATGCCTCGGAGGCCCACAGTCTAGTGTGTTCCTGAGTTGTGTACTTAAGGCTCTTTCCTTCTCAGGTAAGAGGAACTTGAATTCCACAGAACATCTCATCCCTTTTTTTACCCTAGCAGGTAAGACATAGTTTATTAGTAGGCTGCAATTTTGCGTTTTTCATCCTTGGATCCTTCCTCAGCAACCAGCACACTATTTGGACACAAAGGAGGCACTAAGTAATTGTTCTCATCCACTCACAGCCAAGGGCAAGAAGACAATAACAACATTTTAATCCAACATTCCACTTCCATGTCTAATTGGATCTCCCAGACACTTAGTAGTGCTGCCGGGGATTCTTGTTTGCGGAGCCAAAGAATGAGCTTCACAAACAGTCAAGGTAGGAGAGCAAGGTACAGGCTTTTATTTAGAGATACAGTGAAAGGACAGAGCTCCCGGGTCATGCCAGGAGGGGACAAGAGAGTCCATAGTGGTGCGTTGTCTAGGGGGGTTTATAGGCAGCTGAGGATTTTTCCGAGAACATGAAAAAAACTTAGGGGTGTGGACTTGTTAAGTGGTCTCTGAATATTTAGAATTAACTTAACACAAGCTACTCTGAGATACCAGCATCTGGGCCTGGGAGCATATGAAACAAGGCCACCTGCTCAGCCCCCAAGGTGGGCTGAGGCATTGTTTGCTAAAGAGTAAGTTAAGAATTTCTAAGGTCTTAACTTCTTAGGTATTAAAATGCAATCTTATCTTTAAGGTGGAATCCTTCCTGCCTTTTACTGTGTTGTTTATGCCTGGGCTTACTTGCTAAATTAGTTGCCCAGTTTGCAAAATCATTTCATCAGATCTGAAGGAGGAAAGACAGCACATAGGCCTGGGCCTTTTAGTATACTAAAGTGAACCTTACACATGATTATAAATGGTTAGCATAATAAAACATGTGCTACTCTTCTTTATCTGGAGAACATTAACTGATTTCACTGAAGAGTCTAGAGCTCAATGTTTAACATAGAGTTTTAGCAGGGGGGTTTCCTTGCATGTAGTTACATTGCTCTGACTGCAAATATCTCACCCTGCCCCCTCTGGAGCCCCTCACCCTACTCTGACTACATTCATGGTCCCTGTCTCAGTAGGTGCTTAAGATTATAAATTCCATAAGGACCAGAGGACTTGTTCACAACCATATGCAAGTTACTGCAATGTTTGACACATAGTAGTTGCTCAAAACATTATTTGACAAAAGAAAGAAGAGCAGAAAACAGCTTCCTAGACTTTTTCACATTGTTTCACAGTGACAGGTAGAGATTGACTTGACTGATTGGTGCCCTCTGGTGGCAAAGAAGACCCTCAGTATGGCACCACCTGGTACTCTCTAACTAGGGCTTCTTGAAGAATCAATTGCTTTTCTCCCAAAGAGAGAAGACACGGAAATCTTGGTAAGATAAATGAGAGGGAGGGGTATTTGATTTAGAAAGGTTAATTCTGACATCACAGAATCACTCTTCAGGGGGCCAACATTTTTTTCATTCTACATGTGTTAACACATGTAAGTCTTAAATAATGCTCTTAAGGAGCCACAATCACCCCTTAATAAAAATTGGTGACATTTTTTGTGCATTAGCATGTGACAGGCTTTTTACATGCAGTATCCCACTTAATTCTCACAAAAATTCTTGACATGATACTGGACAAAAATCCCTGACATCCAAAGTAGAATTTCTGCTTTACTGAGTACAATAAGACAGGTTAAAAAACAAGGTTACCCAGTGAATAAATGGCAGAATCTGGACTTGAACCTTGGCCATTACACTTTTATGTGACTACTCTTAACCACCATGCTGTAATGTTCCTAGTCTAACATGCCCACAGCAATCTGTGCATATCATATCACCCCCAATGCTATACTGCATCTTTCTCCCAGCCTCTGAGGTGCTTTTAAGAAAGAGCTCATCATTCATTCAACAAAATGTATATTGTGTGCCTGCCGTGTAACAGGTCCTATGCTAAATGCCAAGGATATGTTCATTAACAAGATAGAAATGATTGGTTCCTGCCCTCCTGGAGCTTACATTCTCGTGTCTAACACAGAAATAGACAAAAACAAGTAATTAGTAGACAAAAATATTATTGCAAGTTTTGATAAGTACTAATGAAGTTGATTAAAAGGGGGTTAAGACTGAAAATTTGGGGCAGATGCAACTTTAAATGGAAGCATGACAGGTGCAGAGGAAATCTCTGAAGTCACTCTTAAATGAATGGAGGGACCAGCCTGTGAAATGTGAGGGCAAGAGCATTATTCCAGGTTTCCAGCTTTCTGATCATCATGTCTTATCTCTTTATCCTTGACACTGAGCATAGGGCTTGACACTTCTTAAGTGTCATCCAATGTGGAATAAATGGTAACTAATCTATCAGCTCTCTGGTCTTCCTCAGACTTCAGTGGAGCTGCTTATTCCTCTCAGTCAATTCGAACTCAAATCATGCTTCACTACTTAGCGCAAGTCCTATCACCTTCAGGTAACCTTCCTTAACCATCAAAACATTCTTCAACCATAAAGAAGAAAGAATTCCTGTCACTTGTGTAATATGAATGAACATTGAGGGCATTATGCTAAGTGAAATAAGTCAGAGAAAAACAAACACAAATTCCGTATGATCTAATTTACATGTGGAATATAAAAAAGCCAAACTCAGAAACAGAGAATAGACTGGTGGTTGACAGGAGCTGGGGAGTAGGGAAAATGAGATGTTGGTTAAAGGGTACAAGCTTCCAGGTATAAGAGGAATAAATTCTGGGATCTAATGTACAGCATGGTGACTATAGTTAACAATATTATATACTTTAAAGTTGCTAAAATAGTAGATCTTAAATGTTCTCACTATAACAATAGTAACAACAAATGGTAATTATGTGAGGTGAAATATGTATTACATGTGTTAACTAACACTATTGTGGTAACCATTTTGCAAAATACACGTTTAACAAACATATACACTCAATGTTATATGTCAATTATATCTCAGTAAAACTGGAGATGAGGGGGTAATCAAACAAAACATTCTGAGCAAAGGGAGCAGCAAGTTCAAAGGCCCAGGACAGGTGTAAGTCCAGGGAGAAGAAATCCCAGGGCAAAATACCTCTAAAAACCAAAAACAATCAAAGGGAGAAATAAAGTTTAAAATCCATTTGCTGCTTACAAACTGCGGTCTGGGGCCTTCTCTCTGTCCTGCTCCAAAAGCAAAAAGACCCCACCCCTCACCTCTCAGGTACAGTTAAGCCCTCTGTTGCCCAGGTAATTACCCACTGATATGGAGGTGGACTTTTCTGAGGAATGATGCAAATGCACTAAATCCATACTTTTTTCCACCTCTGAAACGCCTATTGATATGCAGATGTACTAAAGCCCGGCAAGATAATCCGGAAATATTACAATTTTACCCACAACAGGAAAACAAGAGATAGAGTAGGGAAACTCCAAGTAGTTCAATATGGTGGAGGCATTACATTTGACAGAGAGAGGTTGGAAGTTGACAGTGTTTACATTCATTTACTCAGTACTTATTGAGCATTTATAATGTGCTCAGCATTGGCAATGTAGACCTGGTCCTTGTTTCATGGACTCAGTCAAGGACAAAGAGATTGACAACTCATAAACAATAAAAGTTGTGGGGAAAAGTGCTGAAAAGGAAATAAAAAGATTAGATAAGAGAAAACATATTCCAGATTGGGTGGTCAGTGAAGGCCTTAACAAAGAAGAGATTTATTCTCAGAACTAAAAGATGGAAAGGAGAAAAAGTCAAGCCAAAATATCAAGCAGAGCAAACATTTTGGCTTAAGTCTCTGAGGTGAGAAAGAACTTGGTGCAACCAAAGATTTGAGAGAAGGCTGATGTTGCTGCATCTAAGTGAGCAAGGGCAGAGTATCAAGAAAAAAGATGGGACAGTAAGTGAGGGGCCATATTGATCATAGCTTTGCAGCATTCTAAGTACAATTGGGAGCCACAGATGAGTTTTTAAAAGGACAGTGACATGATAGGATTTTAGTTTTAGAAAACTCTTTCTGGCAACCATGTGGAAATGGATTAAAGAAGGACAAAACCACTGTTGTAGTCTTTTTAAAAGCGATGGCATAAAGCAATCTAGTTATTAGAAGTTAGGATAGTGCTTACTGTTGGGAGGTTCTAACAGGGCAGGAAATGTTTTGCTTTTCTGGGAACTGATTACACATTATGTTTGGATATTCAAGCTGTACCCTTTATGTGAAATTTTCTGTATACTGTACTTCGATAAAAATTTTTAAAAGAAAAAGCTATTAAATGAAACTCATATTCTTCAAAAATATTTAGAAAAGGGAGAGCTCAGGAAATGTTCTAGATTAAGAGAAAAAAGCATGACGACTAAATAGATGCATGATCTTGCCTCAGGAAGTAAAATGCTACTATGTAAAAGTTATTTATTATTGGGTTAATTAGCAAAATTTGAATGCAGAATTTAGTATCAAGGTTAAATTTCCAGAATTTTAAGATCATATGAGTAAGAGGTAGTCCGTGTTCTTAGTAGATACCAAGGTATTTAGGGATTTGTGCATCTGAGACTCAAGTGGTTCTGTAAAATAATACCTAAGTACACAAAGACAAAATTGACAAAGCACTAAGTTATGATGGGTAAGTAAAAGGTATATGCGCGTTCGTTTTATTAGTATTGAAGCATTTCTGTAGACTCGGAAATTTAAAAATTTAATAATTAACTGGAGAAAAGCTATTTGACAAGAGACTAGGCGCAAGATGTTATGACTTGGACTACACTTGGCAGTAAAGACAGAGAAAAGTGAGTAAATTCAAGATGCATTTTGGGGGTAGAACTGACAAGACTAGTTAACTGATAATTTACGTTGGATAGGGAAAAGGAGAGGAATCACCGGTGTAAATAAACACTCTCCCAGAACGCCCAAACCATTTCGGCCTTTTAGTTGCTATCCGAGAGAGGAAGTGAGGAAGAAGCGACAGCCAGGATACCGGCAGGTTTCCGGTCTGGTGTCGCAAAAAGACCGTAAATCGGAGAACCCTGTTTGGTTCCTCCCCCATAATGGGAGGCCCTGGAGAGTGACAGAAACCAGTGGCGAGGGACTCATCAGAAACTCACCCAATGGCTCTGGAGCTGGGCGGAGTCCGACAGCACGTGGCTAGCGGCTCCGGAGCCTGGGACCTCAGCACGTCTGCGGCGGCAACTTGGTCGGGGCCGCGGGAGCACTGTCGAGGAGTTCGACAGTTCCGCCGATGTGGGAAGTTGTGCCGAGCACTTGGGCTTTTTAAATCCGGAGTTTGGGAGCGAGACCTGGACCGGGAGGGATGCAGGCGGCGCCTGCGGGAGAGCACCATCGCGGAGCTGCTGGGGAACCGGAGGTGGGTGGAAGGAGCCGTTGGGGAGGAAGGAAAGCTTAACGTGCTGGAGGCGGCAGAGCCCGACAGCTTACCGGCGAGGGGCTCGACGGCGGTGATCCCTAAGGAGCCCCATTCCTCCCGATGCTTCCCGCCTGGGGCACTGTGACACTCGGGGCGTGCTAAGGGAAATGGAACCGTTATTTGCATAGAAGCAGTAAAGCCTGTTGAGCTTCTCCTTCGGGAGCTCTGCACTTGGAAATTTAATAGAGCCTCGCGGCTTAAGGCATTTCTCTGACCAGGAAACGTTTGGCGCAATCTTCCTTCATACTGTGCTCAGTTCTGTATTCCTCATTGTAACGGAGGGCACATGGTGGCTCTGGGACCGTGGAGTGGAGCAGGCCCAGGGCTGTAGGAGAGGTGGTTTGGGATCCCGCAGACCAAGGTGTGAAGTCTGCTCACAGTATAGCCATACCAACTGTGGAAACTCGAGCTCAAGGGACTTCCATCAAGTGTCCGTTTTCTACTGGGATCATTGTGAAAATTGAATAATTTACGGAGTATATCCTGCAGAACCGGTAAATTTAGCTCTCTCCAAGCACTTAATGTATACTGGTGCAATCTGCAGTCAGGGCTTGTTAGCGTGGGTGGAACTTGACAGGCTTTGGATAGAACAAAAGCGGAGGTAGCATTGCCAAGTCCCAGGACTAACCCAGCAGAAGAGGAGGATCCCTGATATATGGTTTCTGGGAATATAAAGATCTCAGGCATTGCTTAGGGCAGGGTCCAGTCATTTGCTACTCCTACTAACTCTAAGCAGAGGTCCGTGCTTGTGCTATCAGGTAGACAAGAAGCCCTCAACTCAAGTAGTTTTCAGTCTAGAGCTCCATAATGTTCTTTTAAGTAATGATTAGTCTGGGTTTTACAGTCTTGATTCCCATTCAAAAGAGAGACCAGGAGCCAGTGAAGCCTCTGCCTACACCCTATCATGGTGGCACTTCAGGCAGGGATGCTAGATGTCTATGATCTCACACTGGCTTTCCCTCTTACTGGCTACAGGTAATGCAGCCAGCTCCGAAAGGCACAGGCAAGGTGGGGAAGAAAGAATCCTCAAAGAAGCGTACAGTGGCTAGGTCTCTAGTGGAGGGCCTGCTGCAGCCAGTGAAGCTCAGCCCAGCAGAACTGTACAAGGAGCCTACCAATGAAGAGCTGAATCGCCTTCGGGAGACTGAGAGTCTGTTCCACTCCAGTTTGCTTCGTTTACAGGTACTGTTGGGTGGCTGGGGCTTGGGTTAGAGGGGTGGGACTGGGACCCTGAGGCTAAAGGACTTTCCCCTGTCTCTTCTTGCAGGTAGAAGAGCTACTAAAGGGAGTGAGGCTGCCAGAGAAGAAGAAGGAGCGGATTGATGCTTTCCTACGGGAAGTCAACCAACGGGTCATGCAGGTGCCCTCAACTCTTGAAACAGAGGTAAAGCAGGTAGTGTGAGGTACTGGAAAGCCCAGAAGAGGTCCTCAGTGTGGGCATCTGAAACAGGCCTTGCTATTCTCTGGAGGGGTTGGGGTGCTAGGGAGCTCATTTTCACTACCAGGAGACTAAGCTGGGAGTGTGGTCAATCACATACATGTTCATTCATTCAGCAAACACATGCCTTGCAGGAGTTGTGTTCTTAGATAAGGGAACAAAACAGCCTATGTTTTATGTTATGGACAACAGATAATAAGTGTGACAAGTAATCTAAATGTTGACAATGTTAGAAGATAGTAAGCACTATGGAAAAAGGAAAAAATAGGATAGGGTAAGGGGATTGTGGGAATATTAAGGATGGAAGTGGTTTGCAGTTTTAAATAGAGGTTGAGGTAGGCCTTACTGAAGTGACATTTGGGTGAAAAGTTGAAGGAACTGAATTAGCCTTATAGATATCCAAGTGAGGAAGAGCATTCCAGGAAGGGGAAACAGTCAAGGGAAAAGCTCAAAGCCATGAGTTGGTCTGGTACGTTCCTTGGAATGAATGAGGGGTAGAAGGAAATGAATTCAGAAAGGGAATGGAGGAAGAGGGTACTTCAGGCAGGCCTTATGTACCAAAACAAGGACTTTGGCTATTGCTCTGGATGAAACAGGGAACTTCTGCAGGGTTTGTTTGTTTTGTTGTCGAGCAGTGATGTGCTCTAACTTCAGTTTTAAAAAGTTCACTCAGGCTATTGTGTTGAAAGTAAAACATCAAGAGACAAAGGTGAAATCAGGGAGACTAGTTAGGAACCTATTGCGCAGTGATCCACTGAAAAATAGTGGTGGGTCAGACTAGGAAAGAGAATAGAAAAGTGGTCAGAATATCCATCATATCATAGACAAATATTCACAAATGCCTAGGGTGCCTAAATGGTTTTCTTGGCTTCACTGGAGATGGATGGTAATTATAGATTTGCTTTGTTTATGTCACCATATTCCTATTATGTTAATATGTGTGTGCAAATTAGTTAGTAGTTTAAAACCTATACATACTTAAGGTACTCTACAAAAAGATATGTCAAAGAAATAATCAATCCTCCCAAGTTTCCTTCATATGCTACATCTATAGCTTTTCTTCTTCCTTCCTAATTACAAACCTTAAATAGAATTCGTGCCTCATATCGAATTTACCGAGTATCATAATTCCTCCAGGTGGTAAAGATACCTCGAGACAAGTGCTGGGCATAGAAGCCACAGGGCATAAATCTGCAAAGAAGTAAAAAGCTAACCTTTGCAAACAATATGGCTTCTCTCTCACTTACCAACTTTACATTTCCCTGTATGGCCCCGGAAGATGACTGGTTAGCCAGAGACGGGTAAGATTCCTCAAGGGAGGAACAACCTAAGACAGGCACAGTCGCAGGGGGGCCATCAGGTGAGAATTTGGGGATCAACAGAGGTGAGGCTCAGAACCTCACCCCCCCTGCTTTGAGAGAAATCTTCTGCATCCGTGGATGTCTTGCTGCCCTTGTCTAGCCTGGATTAATACTTAGTCCATAGGCACACACCTGATCATCTGATCATCTACATTTGCCTTCTTACAGCACTAAACTATGTTTTCTACCTTTATCTTGCATCTACCTACCACTTCAGCATTTTATTAAAAATAAAAATAATAATAATAATAGGAGAAATGTGGGATCAACATATAAATCAAGTACAAAAATCAAATGAATATTCATATTTGACCTGATGGTTTATAGGTCATATTGCATGATCAAAACCGAAAGTTTCTGTGATGAATGCCCTTGTACTGTTCACCATGTAAGAATTTATTCACTATGTAAGAATTCGTTCACCATGTAAGAACTTGTTCGTTATGCTTCAGAAGATTGGAGACTGACAAGAATTAGGCTTGAGATGGATTAATGATTGTACATTGAGCATTGACCCCCCTATACTGAATTTTATTGTTGTTAACAACCATTTGATCAATAAATATGAGAGATGCCCTCTCAAAAAAAAAAAAAAAGGAAAAGAAAAGTGGTCAGGGTCTGGATACCTTTTGAAAGTAAAATGGGAGCTCTTGTCAGGGATAAGTCAAGGTGATTTAAATGATTTTGGCATGAGCAAGTAGTGTGGAGTTGCCTTAATAGGGGAGGCATGTTTATAGGAAGATCAAGAGTTTGGTGCCAAACATGTTGATGTGTTAAATTTGAGATGTCTACTAGACATCAAGGGGACATGTTAGTAAGACAATCAAATCAATATATATCGCTGTCACTGTCTCTGTTCCCACAGCTGACTGATCAGGCATGGCTCCCGACTGGGGTTCGAGTTCCTCTCCATCAAGTACCTTATACTGTGAAGGGCTGTTTCCGCTTCCTGCCCCCAGCCCAGGTCACTGTTGTGGGCAGCTACCTCCTGGGTACCTGCATCCGGCCGGACGTCAATGTGGATATGGCCCTGATCATGCCCAGGGTGAGGTTCAGAGTTTAGGGGATAGAGAGGCCTGCCACTTCACTCTCACAAATCCCTGGGTTCCTCCCTCTCTCCCACCTGCCACTTGCCAGGAGATTAAAATCAAATTCTAAGTCAAAAGAACAGACCACTGCACTTGTCCTGAGGGCAGCTTAGATATGCCCTTCCTTATGCCTGCTGCCCCTTTGGAACTTTGCCCCTTCATCTGAAAGTAGGTGTGTTGCTTGCCTTGGCTCAGGTGCTCTGGCCAGCAGAGAACCCCTGGGGTTGCCACTCTCACTTTGGCTTCATCTTGGCCCCCAAGCTCTCTAATGCTTTTGTCTCTGATCATCTCTCTCCTCCTGACCTCCCCCAGGAGATCCTACAGGACAAGGATGGGCTGAACCAGCGCTACTTCCGCAAGCGTGCTCTCTACCTAGCCCACTTGGCTCACCACCTGGCCCAAGACCCTGTCTTTGGCAGTGTTCGCTTCTCCTTCACCAATGGCTGCCACCTGAAACCATCCCTGTTGCTGCGGCCGCATGGTGGGAGACACACACTGGGCTGGGGGCACAGTATGAGGTGACAAATCTGGTGGGGAAGGCACAGGGCCCTCAAGTCCAAGGTGAGAGGCTTGTGTCTCAAGTTTGAGAGGGAGGGTATAAGGACCTCAAGTTCTGTGATGGGAAGGCATGGGCTCTCAAGTAGGAGTGAAGGGGTGGTACAGGGGCCCCTCTGGCCCAGGGAAATACAGGGTCTCAGCACTCCTTGTCTCCCACCCCAGGGAAGGATGAGCGCCTGGTCACTGTGCGTCTGCATCCATGCCCTCCACCTGACTTCTTCCGCCTATGCCGCCTGCTGCCATCCAAGAACAATGTGCGCTCTGCGTGGTACCGAGGGCAGAGTCCTCCAGGGGATGGTGAGCAGGCACTGGTATCAAGATGGAGCTAGAGGGAAGGGTATTGTGGGGACTTCTCTCATGGCTCCCCCTTTCGTCCCACAGGTAGCCCAGAGCTCCCCACCCCTCACTATAACACATGGGTCCTACAGGACACAGCCCTCGAGTCCCATGTGCAGCTGCTATCAACCATGTTAGGCTCAGCCTTGGGGCTGAAAGATGGTGTGATACTTTTGAAGATCTGGCTGCGGCAGCGGGAATTGGACAAGGTGAGCTGAAAGTGGCCCAGCTTCCTTTCCTTGCTGAGTGGTGAGCTGCGTCTGAGCTCGGGCCTCTCTCTCCATCTCTCTTTCAGGGCCTGGGAGGGTTCAGCGGGTTTCTTGTCTCCATGTTGGTTGCCTTCCTCGTGTCCACACACAAGATCCACACCACCATGAGTGGCTACCAGGTCCTGAGAAGCGTCTTGCAGTTTCTAGGTGAGGTGGCTAGACTCGGAAAGACCAAGCGTTCCAGTCTCCTGGGGATCCTCCCATCACATCGGGGATCATTTGGCTTCTTGCCTTCAGACAGATGAACAAACTGAATTCCAAACTGAATCCTGGAGGCAGGATGTCATTAGGGCTGGGTCACCAGGGAGAGGGATACCTTCTGACACTCCCACCTTCTCTGGTTCACTTCAGCCACCACAGATCTGACTGTCCATGGGATCAGTTTATGTCTCAGCTCAGATTCCTCCTTGGTGAGTGGGGCCGGGCTGAGTCTGGGCAAGGAGATCCAAAGGTAAGGCCCCAACCTTGACTGGCTCCTCTCTGCCCCACAAAGCCAGCCCTGGCCGACTTCCACCAGGCTTTCTCTGTGGTGTTCCTGGACCCCTCAGGCCGGCTCAACCTCTGTGCTGATGTCACTGCCTCCACTTACCACCAGGTACCAATGGTCCCCCATTCCTGGGTTTTCCCAGATGTCCCAGCCCAGACTCTGTCCCTTTTGCCAGCACCAGAACCTCAGAAAGTCCTCTCCAAAAAACTTAAATCAGGCAGGTCTTTTGATCTGAGCCCTCGGGTAAAGGAGGGGAGGGGTGCATTGGTGGTGGTCTCACAGCTGGGTTCCCTCCGTGCCCTGTGGTCCCAGGTGCAGCATGAGGCACAGTTGTCGATGGCGTTGCTGGACAGCAAAGCTGATGATGTATTCCAGCTGCTGTTGATGACTCCCAAACCTATGATTCGGACTTTTGACCATGTCCTGCAGTAAGTTTAGGGTGAGGGGATGTCAGTGAGTCCTGTTGCCCTGGGGCTACAGTGATGGAACAAAGGTCCTCAGTTGGTGCTCTGATCTTGGTTGAGGGGGCAGGTGGTGATACTTGGGGCCAGCAGTACCTGATTTCCCCTTTGGTCCTCTGTGCCTCCCCTAGTCTCCATCCACTGAGTCGCCTGCAGGCAGCATGCCACCGGCTGAACCTGTGGCCAGAGCTGCAGGACCATGGTGGGGACTATGTCTCAGCTGCTTTGGGTCCACTAACCACCCTCCTGGAGCAGGGCCTGGAGTCCCGGATACACCTGCTGGCCCACTCTCGGCCCCCAGTCTCAGAGGTGAGGTGATGTGGGTTGGGGAATTTGTGGGTCTGAGCAAGACTGGATCCAGGGTCCCAGGGGATACAAACACACCATCTCTCTGGCTAGATCTTTCAAACTAGCTCGAAAGTGGATTTCTAGATCAAGCTGGGAGATTCTGGGGTTGAGCTCAGCCTTTCTATATCCTACAGTGGGATATCAGCCAGGACCCACCGAAGCATAGAGACTCTGGGCCCCTGACCCTGGGATTGCTCCTCCGACCTGAGGGCCTTACCAGTGTCCTCGAGCTGGGTCCAGAGGCCGACCAGCCCAAGGTGAGGAGACCTGGGGTCTGGGAGTGATTTGGCCCTGTCTTGGGAAGTCCAGCCGGTGCGCTGGAAGGAGTTGGATGGATAGTCCTTGTGCCACCTGTATTGAGGCCTGTCAAGGAAATTCTCACAGAGTCCGCCTTTGTTGATCTCGCCCACCACCCCTTCTCCTTAGGCATCTGACTTCCGGCAGTTCTGGGGATCTCGCTCGGAGCTTCGGCGTTTCCAGGATGGAGCTATTCGGGAAGCTGTGGTCTGGGAGGCAGCCTCTATGGCCCAAAAGCGCCTTATTCCCCACCAGGTCGTCACCCACCTCTTGGCACTGTGAGTGTCTGCATCTGGATGCCAGAGATAACTGTGGCCTGGGGAACCTTTTGGGAGGGTCTGGCCCAAGCTTTTGGGGTGAGCAGTTCACATCCAGCAGCTCACTGCATAGCTCCCAATTGACCACCAGTATGTCTGTGCCCCTTTTCCAGCCATGCTGACATCCCAGGTACCTGTGTCCGTTATATGGGGGGCCTCCTGGATGCACTGATCCAAGGCCTTAAAGAGGTAAGGGCTCTGGGTCAGGACTAGGGTTAAACTAGGAAATGTGAAGTAGTCTGTGTGGCCTGGTTGGGTTGTGGGTGCAGAGCCCTTACCGCCTCAGCCAGGCTGCATTTCCTGGAATGTCCAGCAGAGGGGGCACTGGCTCCGCAGCAGCCTGAACCCTGGTGGAATCCCAGATGGTGGTGGAGGGGGCTCTGCAGGGGCTGGCCTGCTGACTCTCTTCTTCCTGTCAGACCTCCAGCACCGGGGAAGAGGCCCTAGCAGCGGCGGTGCGTTGCTATGATGACCTCAGCCGTCTGCTGTGGGGGCTGGAAGGTCTCCCGTTGACTGTGTCTGCTGTACAAGGAGCACACCCAGTGCTGCGCTACACTGAGGTGAGGTGCAAGATGGGAGGAAGCCCTTTCTGTTTAGTGACCTCTAACTTCTGCTCCACTTACCCAATATCGCCCTTTCCCACTCCTGACAGCATTCCCCCCAGTCCTGGCCCCATTCTCAGCCCCACTTCTTCTATAGGTGTTCCCACCAACCCCAGTCCGGCCAGCCTACTCGTTCTACGAGCACCTCCGAGAGCGGGCCTCACTGTTGCCCCGGACCGACAAACCCTGTCCAGCCTATGTGGAGCCCATGACTGGTGAGCGGGCATTTGAGAAGGGATGAGAGGGATTGTTGCCACTCCAGGCTGCAGTCTGAGACCTTTCTTCTTTCCAGTGATATGTCACCTGGAGGGCAGTGGTCAGTGGCCACAGGATGCGGAGGCCATACGGCGAGTCCGAGCTGCCTTCCAGCTACGCCTCGCAGAGCTGCTGACACAGCAGCACGGACTGCGGTGCCATGCCTCAGCCATGCACACTGATGTCCTCAAGGTTAGTCTGGTGTAGGGCAAGGATACCCTCAGACAGGAAGGGGACAAGGGCGTCAGGGTGCCCCAGGACAACATGTATCGCCTGTTCCATACCCTCTTGCAACAGGATGGGTTTGTGTTCCGGATTCGTGTGGCCTATCAGCGGGAGCCCCAGATCCTGAGGGAAATGCGGAGCCCTGAGGGAATGATCTCACTGAGGGACACGCCCACCTCCCTCTGTCTAGAGAAGGACACCAGGCAGTTGCCCCTGCTCACCAGTGCCTTGCATGGGTATGCCCACTTGAATAGACTCTTCTGTCTGTAGACCCTTTCCTGCTCCCATTCTGCTCTCCTGCTGCCTGTCTCTCTGGAAGGTCAGGTGGTATATTAGGGATATGAGTTCTAGAGTCAGGTAAGTTCTAGAATCCTGGCTCTGCCACTTCATTGGTTATGTGTCCCTTTGGGCAGAATTCCCTCCCATACTTAATTTTTCTCATCTATAAAGTGGGAATAATATTAGCACCAATCTACTGGGGCATTAGTTAGGAGAATGTGAGATTATTCACATAAGGCCTTAACACAGAGGCCAACAGTGGGTAAAGCCTGAATAAATAGTGGCAGTGGGGCTAAAACACTGTTCTTGGGCTGAGTGCCTGGGTCTCTTTGCCACTCTCCTCTCCCCCACAGACTCCAACAGCAGCACTCAGCCTTCTCTGGTGTGGCTCGGTTGGCCAAGCGGTGGGTACGTGCCCAGCTTCTGGGTGACGGGTTCACTGATGAGAGCCTGGACTTGGTGGCTGCTGCCCTTTTCCTGCACCCTGAGCCCTTCACTCCTCCCAGGTGACTGCCTGCACCTTTCCCCTTGCCAGAAAGTTCCTCCTGGGGCCAGCGTTCATCCCTCATGCTGTACCTTCAGTCCAAATGGGAGAGGGTGGCCAAAATGAGTGAGCAAAGGGGTTCTAAGAACACCCTTAATCCACATTAAGGGGTCTAGACTCCCTAACCTGGGGAAAGCCTGGGGATGTGTGGCTGGGCCCCAGACTCTTTGCTCACTCCTTCCTCTCAGCTCCCCTCAGGTGGGCTTCCTTCGCTTCCTCTTCCTGGTGTCAACCTTTGATTGGAAGAACAACCCCCTGATTGTCAACCTCAATAATGAATTCACTGGTAAGTGGTAGGACTGGGGTCAGACTACGAGAAGAGCTACCTTTGTGAACTGCAGAATAGGACAAGTGAAGGTTTTCCCTGTTATTCTGTTAGTTTTTCCTGGGTCTTCCCCATCCCAAATATCTATGCCTGATCCTAACTGCCTTGGAGTGGGGATTTATTGGGAGAAAGAGGGCCATTCCAAGCCTTGAAGAAGCCTAAGGATTTAGAGATATGGTTCGCCTACAGGATGATCAGAAACAGAATGGACTGGGGGTGGAAGACAGGCTACCTGGGGGCTGTGAAGGGAGAGAAGAGTGGAAGGGGGATCCTAAACACCAGGTGAGAAGATGTGTTGGGAAACAGGGAAGGGTCCAGAAAATGCCCAGCCCTTTTCGGGGGTGGAAGTGATGATTTCTGGCTGTAATATAAGGAGCTACTTGTCCCAGCACAGAAGAGGGTATCAGTTTTCTAACTCCCCAGGTGTGTGGGAACATAGGGTGGGAGGGAGTCAGTGGCAGGCCTCAGCTTGTGCAGGCTGGGTAATGCCTAGGGTGCTACGGAGTGGAAAAATTCTGCCTGTAGGCTAAGGCTGGGAGCTTAATGCCCTGCCTGATTGAGGCCAATGTGTTGTCCCTTTTATCACCTTTGCCACCAGGTTCAGGGACTGGGGTTTAAAAAATCCCTGTGTTGGGCAGCTGCTAGGTGCATAGGAAGAAGACCTGAGTCAGTGGAAGGTGGCTGGGAGAGAGGGGCTGGCTGACCAAAGAACCCCTCCTGTCCACAGCGGAGGAGCAGGTGGAGATACGCAGTGGCTTCCTGGCAACTCGGACACAACTCCCCATCATGGTCATTATTACCCCCAACGATCGCAAAAACTCCATATGGACACAGGATGGACCCTCGCCCCAGGTTCAGTCACATCTGTGCCCCCAAATTTGTGGTTTTTCTCTTCCAAGAGATAAACAGGCCCAGCCTGAGCTAAGAGAGACCTGGGTCAGATCTAACCTAACGGATGTATGCACCCTCCAGATCCTACAGCAGCTTGTGGTCCTGGCAGCCAAGGCCTTGCCTGTCCTAGAGAAGCAGCTAATGGATCCCCGGGGGCCAGGGGACATCAGGGTAAGCCCTTGACCGAGTGACTCCAGGTGCTCTAGGGCATCTACCTTTGAACCCTAGAAGTCTGGAGCTCCAGGAGCCTCCATGCAATGTCCAGTCTCCTTGATTGGTGACACCTAGTCCAGAGAAGGCATTGAAGCCATCCACAGTGCCTGGCAGTGGTGGAGCCTGAAGGAGAATTAGGGCCATCCAGGCTCCATCGGGCCTCATGCTAGTGGCCTGTGCTGTTCTGCTGAACCCAAGCTACCACCAACTGAGTTGTGACATTCCTACCTTCAAATAAGCTTTTGGGCCCATACTGGGGGGTCAGATTAAGGGAGGGAACCAAGTAGGCATGTGGAAGGGTTTGTGGTCCAGCCCCCAACTCCAAGTGGGCACTGCTCACCCCTCAGATGGTGTTCCGGCCACCCTTGGACATGTATGATGTGCTGATCCGCCTGTCTCCCCGCCACATCCCCCGGCACCGCCAGGCTGTGGACTCACCAGCGGCCTCCTTCTGCCGTGGCCTGCTCAGTGAGCCAGGGCCCTCATCCCTGATGCCTGTTCTGAGCTATGATCCCCCTCAGCTCTATCTGGCGCAGCTCAGGGTAGGTCCCAAAGGACTGACTGACTCTGGGGAGGGGACTTCTGGGTGGAGTTTAGGCCATGGAGTTAGCTCTCAGATGTCCACCTGTAATCTCATCTCTGTCCTGCCCTTTCCTAGGAGGCCTTCAGGGACCTTGCCCTTTTCTTTTATGACCAGCATGGTGGAGAAGTGATTGGTGTCCTCTGGAAGCCCACCAGCTTCCAACCTCAGCCCTTCAAGGTGTGCCAGCGGGTGACAGCCACATGTTCCTGAGTGTGTACATGTGGCTCCATGTGGGCATGCATGTCTGTGTGTGGCATGCTGCATGAGTGACCCTGTCTCAGGTGTGAGGCATGTGGGCTTGTATGTCTCTTCCTCCAATCACCCCCATCTTGGTGTCTGTGAATGTGCCTTTGCAACACTTCAATCCATATTTCTCTGATTCCCCAGGCCTCCACTACAAAGGGGCACGTGATGGTGTCTCAAGGTGGGGAGCTGGTGATGGTGCCTAATGTAGAAGCAATCCTGGAGGACTTTGTCATCCTGGGCGAAGGCCTGGTACAGGCTGTGGAGACCCTAAGTGAGAGGTGGACTGTGTGATCTCCAGCCCCAGGAGCAAGTTGTAGATGGACAGTAGGACTTGAGACCTCTGGAGCAGAATATCAGTGGCACTACCTCCAGACTTGTTGCATATGGACCCTCCTTGGAGGGCCTGCTGGCCTGAACACACTGAGTCATCCCCTGCAAAAGCCCTGCCCTGATTTTCTGTCTGATGCCTCAGCACTGGAGCAAGGGGCCATGATGTCCTATGGAGTCCCAGGGCCTGACTATCTGAACTCCCAGAAGAGCAGTAGGAGCTAGCTCAGAGAGGGAACTGAATGAACCCAGGAGATCCATCCATCTGTCGTCCTTCACCTGGGCTTTTTTTTTCCCCCTTCCTAGGCTGTTTCCGGAAATCTGGAGAGGAGGGCATGTGCTCAGGGCTGAGGCTGTCTCCCCTTTGCATTGCCAGGATGTTGTGCCTAGACCTCAGTGTGCTTTTAAATGGTGCCCAGAGAAGGTGTGGCACTTCCTGAGGGTCACAGAGTGCCAGCACTGAGCAGTGGAGAGGGGGCAATGTATGGATAAGTAGATCACATTGAAGGGGCACAGGGGCTTTGGTGTTGAGAGCATAAAGAACAGGAAGGGACTGGGTCAGTAGAGGGGTAAGGGAGACTGATGGTCCCCAAGTCCCGGGGGAGATATAGAAAGCATGGAGGGGCTCCCCTGGCCTCTGTCTGAGTCCCTCCAGCTCTGTGCACCAGCCTATTCATGTCCAAACCTCCCCCACTCCACTCCCACAGCAGGTGTGCAGTGAAGAGGGACACCGAAGTCCTACTCTCCAGGGGCTCCCAGTGGCCTGGGGAATGGGGGATGCTACTTCCTTTCAGCCTGGTCCACACCCCACTTCAGGCAGCCCCTCCGTTCTTTATCTCCCCTAATCCTGTTGTCTCAGACTCAACTCTAGTAGTGCCTCATCAAACCTTTTGCTCGCCCTCAGCCTGAGGTGCTTTCCTTCCTCTGAAACATTAGAGCACTTGCTCTCCATTCAGTTACTTCGTAGTCATGTATAGCAGTATAAATGCTCCTGTTTGTCTTAAACTCTGATTTAAAATTAAATTAATTTTCTCATATTCTTGACTTGTCTACCTTTTAACCTTGTCTTCTGTATGTAAACTCTTTGGGGCCAGAGCACATGTTTGAACACAGACTTTCTTGGGACCTTCGTGTTACCTAGTACAGTGCTCTGCTCAGGTAGGATACAGGTGTGTGCAGAAAGGCCACCTTGCCCAGGCAGGTGGGGAGCGTGGAAGGCCAGCAGAAGACTTCAAGGAGGGAATCATAAGTTGTGATCTCTTCCTAAAATGGATGGGGTGGCGATGGTGAGAGATAGCCTGAGAGGTAATGAAAGGTTGACATTTACTAAGTGCCTAGTAAATGCTGGGCACTGTTTATTTTACATTATCTTATGTTTGGGAATTTGATCATACAATCATACCAGCCCTAAGAAGTACATACTTTTTGACCATCCTCATGTTCTGATCGAGGGAACAGTTTCAGCAGTAGGCAGGGGCCATTTGTGGAGGGATTTTGATGCTATTAAGCATCCTCGAGATGATAAGCCACATGTGGGAACTCTGGTTTCCAATTTTGTCCCAGTTCTGTTAGTCTCTGTGAACCTATGCTTTACCTGTCACTGTCGGGAAAGGCCAGGATATCATATCTATTTTTATTTTAATTGAAATCATTTCACATATAACATTATATAAATTTAAGATATACCACATGTTAACATTACATTTCTATACTGCAATATGATTGACACTGTAGTGATAATTAAATTTCTACCACATTACATAATTATCCTTCTTTCAGTGGTTGTAATAATTAAGCTCAGCCTGAGGTTGAAATTAGCATAGCAAATACATTGAAGGGCTGTGTGACCTGGCGTCTACATCTCTCTCCCTGTGCTGTTCATTCATAAGCTCCAAACATCAGTGTGCTAAGTTTTATTTTCAGTGAAAGATGCAGTCCCAGCGCTCACAGAGTCCTGGGGTTTGTGGTTGTCCCTGGCTCATCCTCTGCCTCCTTTTCCCTTGGCCCCTCATTTTCTCCACTGTCCTTGTGTGGACTCCAGGAGGGAGGCAGTGGCCATTTTCAGACTGTCCACTTTCATCCCTGGGTTGGCTTCAGTCCTGGGGTTTCCAGCAAAACCCAGTTTCAGATTACCCCAGTGCAGGGGCCAGAATCTGCTCCCAGGCAAGACCATCAGCGGCTCCAAGAGGCACGGGCACCAGTCCCACAAGGGGAAATGAGCCTTGGCTTTGTTGCCTCCCACCTTTAATATGGGCATAATGACTGTCAGGTGCCCAACATGGCAAGGGAAGAGGGTGGAGACCCTAGGGAACTGCACCATTGTTCTCTGCTTTCCCTGTGCCAGTTTATGGGGCTAGGTGTGGGGGGAGCAGGAAGTGCAGGCTTTAATTTCAGTCCCTCTGCAGGTCCAACCCAGGTTTCTTCATAGTAGGTGAGGAGGCTGGTGTGGTCTAAGATGACCTTTGGGTGGGGGTGGGGAGGTCGCATGAGGAGCTGGAATTTAAGAAGGGAAGAAGAGAAGCTAGGACAGGTGTGAGCAAGGCTGCATAGGGTGAAGTAGGTTGTGCATCCCCATGGGTGCCTCTGCCTTGGTGCACCTCTGCATTTCACTCTGCAGGTGGGCACTGATGGACTGTGTCTGGTGTATGGAGTGATTTGTCTACTGTATGTGTGTTGGGGGTGCGTGGACACATCTGTAGTACTAGGCTGTCAGTGCAGGTTTTTGCCTCCAGCTCTAGGTTGCTGTAAAAGGGGAAGTCTATTTTTGAAGAGCAAGTCAGCAGAAAAAGCTCTCAGATAGGAGGCAAGAACTCTGTATTCCTTCCTGTGGCTTTAAACAAAGGCTTCCCCTTCTTGGGGCTTCCATTTCTCCAGTTCTATCAGGCCTTCCAAGTCTCTTTATGTAGGAACATTTAGTGAATTCCCTTCTGGCTGTTGTATCTGACAACCTCCTCTAAACCAGAATCCTTTTAGCCAAAGAGCCTTACTTTGGAGAAAGAACAAGACCCCAAAGCCTAAATGGAGCAGGTTAAATCCAATGAAGTCCTGAGGGCTGCTCAGATCTGGGAGAGTCCGTGCCCCCCCCAACCAACATCCGGTATTGATTTGTGAGTCACAGATTAATCCAGGTGAGTGATAGAGGGGAGGGGTAGCCTGGGGCATGTGAGTCACTCCTGCCCTTTTTAGGAAAGGCCAGCATGCCCCTCCCTCTGCTGCAGAGAGTGGGGAGAAGGAGGCATCTTACTTAGGCTGCCCCAGGGAACTAAGGGGGACCAGGTTGTTGCCAACCCTAAGAGGGATTCACTTTCCAATACCAAATCAGTTTCTGGGAAAGGTGTGAGAAAGATAATTTTTCTGGTTTGCATGAGTCCCAGAGAGTTATAGGAATTGTTCAGGGTCACACAGGGGTTGGGGGTGGATCTTCAGAAAATCGAGGCATCCTGGCTGTAGGCCTTGCTGCTGAGCCTGGGCTTTCCTGGGACCCATGGGTGGGATTAGGAGGAATAAAGGAGTAGAGAGGCCTGAGCTCCAGATCTCTGCAATGGGGCATGAGGGAGTGGAAAGCCTGGCCCCTCTCTGGTCCTGGGCAGCCTGACAGGCTTCTCCCTCCCTCTGCCCAAGGCAATGTAATGAAGCCATTATCAGCAGGACCCAGGGGAGCAGGGTCGATGATAGGGGTGGGGCTGGGGGTGGGAGCGTGATCACTCTGGTCCAACCAGCTCTAGCCTAAGTCTTCTCTGTTCCCTAGTTGGAAGCTCCTCAAAAATAAAACAAACTCTCCTCTATTCTCCTAGACTGGAAACCTCCACAGGACAGGGCTGGGATCTCCTAGAGATTGACGAGGCCAAGGTTGGGCCCTTACTGAGTGGGTAAGGGGGCACTGAGATCCAGCCCTCATTCCACTACCAAAGGTTTGGATGAAAAAATATGGATATATGGGGCGTGGGAGAATAGGACAGATGTTTAAGGATATAAATTTATAACGAGTAGTAAATAAGCCCCAGAGAATGCATAGTATAGTGAATACAGACAATATTACAATCAACAAACTTGCTAAGAGACTAGAACATAATTCCAGCCACTAAAAAAAGGATAGTTATGTAATGTGATAGAGGTCTGATTATCACTACAATGGCAATCATATTACAACACAGAAATGTAATAACATGTTGTATACCTTAAATTTATACTATGTTATAGGTGAAGTATATTTCAATTAAAAGAAAAAGAAAAAGATAAATGTGGCATCCTGACCTTTCCTCAGTCTCCCTCCACACCCCCACACCCATCTCCCAACCAGTGGGGTCTCCCTGACTCCTCTCGGGCGGGCAGCTGGTGGCTGCCCTGTAATTAGCACCCAGGCTGGAGAGTGTACTGGGCCTCTTGCACGCCCATCACCTTTGGAATCTCAGATGCAGTCCCCTACCCTACTCCTTTCAAACCTCAGGCGTCTCAGAGAGCAGTTGTCCTGGGCCTCACCTCAAGCTCAGTTTCCTATTTAACCAATTCTGCCAGCCTCCCATTTCAGCCTCTTGCCAACCTACCCTGCCCACTCTGCTTCCTAAATCCCCAATTCAAACCCTTCCCTCTCCTTATAGCCATTGCCCTGCATCTGGCCTCTTTCCCTCCTCCGTGGCTTTTTTCCAGGCCTTCTGAACTTGGTTTCTTCCCTTCTAACCCATCCTCCCCTCCGCAGCTGGAGAGATCCTTCTAAATGGCAAATGGAGATCATTCCACTCCCTACTTAAAACCCCTCAAGCCTCCTCTTAGCCACAGTTCTCAGGGGCGAAACAATCAAGTGTAAAGTCTGATCTAAAATGGTTAAAATGCTGTGGTTGCAGCAGGAAGTGGGGCCAGGTTTCTGCCTCCTTGGCGTCCCTCTTCCCTTCTCCAGCTGCAGCAGTCGCTGTGAGAGCTTCCTCGGAGCCTTGGGGATTAAAGAAGCACCGCTTGAATATCTGTGGCCTCCTGTATAAGGTCCAGACCTTTAATATAATACCTAAGGCCCTCACTGTGCTACTCATGTTCCTACCTGGGGCTGCTCTTATCAGGTACCAGGCCAGCAGCCATCCCTACCTGAGGCAGTCTTTCGTCTGGAAGACCCTCTATAAAATCTCCAGCCAAGTGTTCTCCAGGAAGCCCTCTGATTGTCTCAGCCCAAAAGATGTTCCGTGTTCCCTTCCTGGCTACAGGGGCAGGACAAATGCCAGGCTCTGGTTCAGTCCCCTAAGGAAGCCTGTGAGCTTTCCATCCCTCTTCAACCTCTGGTCCTCACCCCTCAACCTCTGAAGCAACCCTATCCTAATTCTAGGAACTTTCCTGCTAGTGAGCAGGGAGATGTGAATCATAGAGCCCAGGGACTCCAGGGAGCTGACCCCTGAGGTGCAAACCAGAGCCTTCCAGACACCCTAGGCCTGTTCACAATGATAGCCTGGTCTATGTCAGCTCCATGTCACTCACTTCCCTCCTCCCAGGGTGGCATAGGGCAGGCCCCCAAATGTCCAGGCAGTTTATCTCCAGACTCCTCAACAGATCCCCATATCCTATCTCTAGCTTTTATAAACACTGGGCCCAGACCCACAGCCAGGCTCAAGCAGGGACACACAAAGATAGGCATACAGACTCCCATGGACACACACATGCACACACAAGCCCTCATGGATATACACACATGCATGTGTGTACCCCATGGTCACCTACATGTACACACAGACCTTGATGCATACATGCACACACACGGTCAAGAACACACATTCACACATGAAAAATGTGGCTCTGATTAAGGAGGCAGATTCTAGAATGAACCTTTCCTTCTATTTGGTCTTTGTAATACAGTTTTCAAAGCCTGAAACATTTACAATCATGTTTGATTCTCATAGAGGCTATGGGTTGGAGGGAGGGATGCCATCTGAAACCTCCAGGTGACTGAGGAAGAAACTGAGAGAAGACAGCTGTCTACATCATCTGACTGGTCAGAGGCCATACCAGGCCTGAAGCTGTGGTTTTGGGTCTGCAAGAGGATTCTGCCCCATTAGTCAGAGTCTCTATGACTCTAGGCCCTTCCTCAGTGCAGCTCTTGGCCTCCGTCTCATCCCTTTGCCACCTTTCTATGACTCTGCTGTTCTTGAAGGGTACCAAGGGTAGCTCAGGGACACCAGAATGTGAACCCAGAGTCTGAGGATATAGGTTGAAAAGTGGAATTTTCTCAAGGGCCAGCTGGACACCTGGCTGGAGGTGCTGAGGGGGCAGTTTGTGCTCACAGGTTTTCTGCCATCTTGTCTGTCTGGAGACAGGGTGACTGTTGGCCCAGTAGGAGAAGCTGCTTGGCCACACCTCAGTCTGGGGATGCTCATAGTAGGGTAATTCAGCTCTGCCCTCTATTCCCCATTACAGCCCAGAACGAGCCCCCAGCTCTCAAGGGCCAGCAGGAATAATGTCCAGCAGTGGCCTAAAAGTGGGGCACACTCTAGAAGGAAGCTCAAGTGTGTGGGGTTCAGTGGGTTCTCTGCTCCCCTGTGCTTTGGACTTGTGGCTCCCTGGCCTCTCTGCTCTCCTCACCTCTGCTCCCCATCCTCATGGGATTTGAATCCTGGCTCAACATTTAATGGCTGAGTGAGACCATAGAAAATGACTTCTCTCCAAACCATAGTTTCATCATCTGTGAAAGGAGGAAAATATACCTACTTTGGGGGTTGTTTTGCAAACGAGAGGAAAGCATCCTAAACTTAAAAATGTATGTCTCTTTTGGCCTGTACCTCTCCTATCCTACTCCAATGGTCTGGAACAGGTTAGGGGGTTCAGGGAAGCTGGGAGGATTGTAGCATGATTTGTTTCCTATGTCTCTTCTCCATTCTACTTCCTGACAGCAAGGCCCATGTCTCCCTCTCTGCTGGTTCAGGTTGCTCCCATTCAGGCAAAGAGTTTGAGGGGCAGGAAGTGAAGGGCATGCCATCCCACTCCTTAAGGTCCCCAGCCAGCCCCTCTAGTCCAGCATCTTTAGCCCCTCCTTTGCCTTATAACCCCCTCCCCATTGCTGATCCCCAAAAGTCAAGGCCTCCCACAAGGTGGATGGACTGTCAAGGTCCCTTCCTGGGCTCAGCCCTTCCTCCCAGGTGAGATGCAGACCTTGCTCAAGATGCCCCGGGAGGAAGTGGGCCTCCTCATCTGCATCCTCTCAGAGTTTGGCGGGCTGGCTTCCAGCATGCACTCAGCCCTGGCTTTCCTTCCCAAAGCATGGGAGGGAGTACAGAGGACTCTTTTTGTGTAAATTGTGTGACTCAGAGTCAAGGGCTCAGCAAGCTCAGGCTCTTCTCTTTGAAGCCATGCTTTCTTCTGCCTTTTGCTTCAGGGGGTGCCATTCACATTGACTACAATGAGAATGACACCCCAGGTGTTGAGCCATCCAATGTGGCCCTGCTTTTGCCCCCCAAACTCGGACCAGCTGGGTGCTTATGGATAAGCATCACCAGGTCCCTACCCCTCTCCATCCCAGATGACACAAGGAAGACTGACAGGAATAAGGGGCCATTGGAGGGCACTGCATTCTTTGCCCTCCTCCAGGCAGGGTCCTCTAAGGTTCACTAGGAAGCATGAAGCCCTACCCATACTTTCTCAGCTCTAACCCTAACCCACAGAGTGCATGTGTATTTATGAACATGTGTGTACACCCTAGTCTAGTAGAGATAGGAATGAGTTTGGGGTCATGGTCCTCAAGGTTGGGCCCTGATTTTGGGTCAGGGGGCACTGAGAGGCAACTCTTGTTCCACTTGCCAAGCCCTGTGCTTTAGCATGGGGCTGCATCCACTAGAGGGGGTCACAAAGATGCTCTATGGTAAACTGCAGTCCCGGGATTATAGATAGGCACACACACACACATGTGTGAGTACATACAGGTACACGTGTGTAAATAAGTGTTACTTAAAATGTGAATAAGATACACAAATGCACAGTTGTGTGTGTGATCTGCTCTCTCCTGGTGCAGCACATGTGACCTCTACGTGGGCTGAGTGCAAACATGGGTGTCTACAGAGGCCTTGCATGTGCCTGCTGGTGGCAAAGCTGCCCCTGTTTCTCTCCCTGCTCTGGTTCCCAGGCCAGCCTCAGCTGCTGGCAGGCTCAGGATGGGGTAGGATAAGGAAGGGGTGCTGTGGGCTGGGGTTTCCTACTTTCTTGCAGTGTTGGGAACCCCTTGCCAGTTCTTGCTTTGTGCAGCCTTTGCATCCCCACCTGAGCAGCACACCCTGGGGTGGGGAGATGAAAGGGCAGCAGGGTGGACGCTCCCCATTCCCACAGTCTGGGATCTGGCACCAAGAGTCTAGGGTTCCGTCTTGAGTCACAGACTGATGTGGGGCCATGGACAGGCACTCGGTGATGGCTCCCTGATTCACCATGGGGCCTCCCAGCCTATGGGGGCCTGGAGAGGGGGTGTTTCTCCCTTCGCCAAGGACCACGGAGACCTCGGGTGGGGGTTACATATATGTGTGAGTCCATGTTCAGGCTGTCATGTGAATGAGATCCCATAAGCATGTGAGCAGAGCTCAGTGTCAATAGATGAGTCTGGCTGCCAGCCTCAGGGTATGTTTGTGTGTGTGCATGCATGTGCATGTGTGTGACTCTACCCAGTGTGCATTGCTAAACCTCATCTCTTTAGACATGAGTCATCTCTGGAGCCATTTCTGACAGCCATTTCTCAAGGGACAGGTCCATGGGGCCCTTGGCCTACCTACCTGGATTAAGTCCCTCTGAAAACCCTGGCAGTGCTGCCGTAGAGACTGGAGTGAGGGCATTATTTGCTCCTGGTCCTGTGGAAGTAGTGCCCAGGCCACCAGACCTGTTACCAGATTATTAAATGCAGCACAGGGGCAGGGTTGCCCCATCCCCCCTCAGATGGGGCTCACACCCTAAGACTTTAGCCTGGTTAACTTCTTAAAGGGACAGACTCTCCCCTGGCTCGTGTTCAGCCAGCGTGGGAGAGGAGAGGGTTAAAAACAGCTGGGTCTCAGCCTACTGGCAAGCAGGTAGCCTGTGGCCTGTCAGGACACCTGCAGCTCAGCCTCTAGAGCCATGTGCAAAACACACAAAGGGACACGTGTTGACAAAATCAGTTAAACTAGCTATGTGCACAGCCGTGAGCAATGCCCAGCAAGTGTGATCAGTCACACAGGACAGATGTCATGTGTGGACACGGCTGTGGACAGAGCTGGTCAAGACAAGCAACATGTGACAGTACTCACGGCACCAGGAGCAAGGTCCCACCAGCTCCACAGGCTGGGCTGACAGAGGGTCTCTCCTCCCCTGGGGCCCATCATCCCCTCCCTCCAGCCCCACGACTGAGGACATGGTGGGCCCAGCTGTCCTGCAGAGCTGGGAGCAGCCCTTTCCTTTCTGTCTCCCTCGCCCCTGCCCTCTTGGGGATGACAGCCCGGTCCACCTGGCCCTCCACACGCCGAAACCCCACCACGGCTCTCAGCCCCCAAGATGCCTCCTCCCCCAAGTGCCCTCTTGGAGCCAGACCCATTACTGAAGCTCCTCACACCCCCGCCCCCCACCTTCCTCCTCAGTTCGCCTGAACCCAGCGCCCTGGCCAGCCTCCCCAGGCCTGCCGGGCGGGTGGCCGCCCTCTCCCCCGCGGCGGGGACTCAGCGGGCGGGGCTGGCGGGCGGGCTGGCGGGCGGGCGGGGTGCGCGCCTCCCGCCCTCCTATATAGGGCGCCACCGCAGCTCCGGGCCACAGCCCCTACGCCCGCCAGCCTGCCGCGCCCGCCACCCTGCCGCCCCCGCCATGGGTCGACAGAAAGAACTGGTGTCCCGCTGCGGCGAGATGCTCCACATCCGCTACAGGCTGCTTCGCCAGGCATTGGCTGAGTGCCTGGGGACCCTCATCCTCGTGGTGAGTGGAAGGACCCAGAGAGCTCACTTCTCTCCAGGCCCCACACTCCCCATTCCCTCAGTTCATCTGAGGGACTGTTTTTCAAGGCAGCGTCCAGTCCTCCCCCACCTCCCGCCTTGACCCCTCCCAGAGTTCTCCTTCCCCATCTATGACAGTTCTGACTCTTGCCAGAATGACAGCTGTTACTCCCCAGTGACAGCTCTGATCCTTTACCTTCCCACCGGTGACTCAGCCCTCAGGCTGGTGGCAGGAGTCACCCCTGTAGTCTGGGACCTCTAGCTCCTTCTCCTGGTTCCCAGAGCTCCCCAGGTTCCCAGAGTCCCAGCCCCAGGAGGCAGAGGGGACAGCAGCAAATGGGTCCCTATTAGGTTATTTGGGTCCTGGATGCCTGGCTCCTAATGAATAATTAAGCCTTAGAAAGTCCAGAAGTTTCTGTGACCTGAAGACAGTTTACCACAAATGAAGGCAGAGGGTGGAGGCCCGATAAGGTGCAAATAGCTGAGTGGGAAGAAAGGAGGATCCTGGAGATAGGAGACTGTGGAAGGTAGCTGCACCCCAGGCACAGAGAACATGGTGTCCCTAAAGTTGCTCCCCTGTGCTGAGCAACTCTAGACCCTGTCAGTTACCCAAATGGACGCCACCTGCTTCCATGTAGAAGCACTCTGCATTACTCCCTGGGTTTTTTAGTTCTTCTATGGGTTCTCTGAGTGGGACACTTGCCGTGACTGAGTTAACTCTCCAGTCTGTTACTCCCTGGTTACACCATTTTTGTCCCTGGGTTGTTCTTGGGTGACTCTTGTTTGCACTTCTTCAGTCTGGCAAATACACCAGTTACAGTCTCCATTTCCTGTCCCCGCTACTGTGATTTTCAGCCACTCCTGTGATGACATCTGTTTCCCCTGGGTTACCTCTGGGTTCAGTTGCTCCATTGCAGTTGCTGGCTTACTCCATTACTGCCCCAGCCCTAACCCTAGGTAATGCAGACCACCAAGCCCCCTTTGGACTTGGAAGCTTAACTAGAGACAAGCAGGGCTGGGGTGGCCCCTTCCAAATGCACTGGGGTGGTAGAGCAGGCCTCCACAGGGAGAGGAGGGCTGAGACTCAGCTCTGGCTTCCAGGGACAGGAAGGGTGGAAGCTAAGTGGTGCCCTTTATCCACAGCCCCACACAGGATTAGTGGCCCTGTCAGTCATTCTTTCCCCTGTGCCAAGAAGGGAGTAGAGGCAGGTGCTTATCATGCTCCTCCCCCAGGGCCAAGGCTCCCCAACTCTGACTTCTGGTCCAGCCCCTGTTTGGGAACAGCCAGGACAGGGGCAGTTGTCTTCTACCTTCACAGGGGGGCCTCTCTAGGCTCTCCCAAGTCTGTGTGCCTCCCTGACAAAAGAGCAGTCTGGCCTCTCACTGAGTGAGCCCCAGGCTCATTTGGCTTATCCCTGACCACAACCGGAGGTGTTCCGCTTGTGAAGGCTTTCAGGCTCTGGTGGGTGTGAGGCATCAGGTGTCAGAACCTCAAGTGCTGCCCCAAGAGGAGGGGCCAGGCCTGGGAGGCCTGAGTGGTGGGTGAGGGCTTGCCTTCCTACTTCTGTGGGCTGGAGACCTAGAACCCCAGTGGCAAAATCAGGGCTGGCTTTGGGGTGAGGGAAGCTCCTTTCTCTGGGTACTAGAAAGGTGGGGGGATGGGGGAGAAGGAGCAGGGAAGAAGAGGAAGATTAGCCCTAAGGTGGTGGAACTGGCTCTGACAGCTTCTCTCTCCATGGCCTCCTGGGATGGAGCCAGATTTGGGCCTCAGGGAGGCAAGTTGCTGAGGCCAGGGCCTGCCAAGCTGGGCAGGGTGCCCCAGACCCCCACGTGCCTGTGTGTGTGTGTGTGTGTGTGTGTGTGTGTGTGTGTGGTGCCTCACACACACACACATACTCACAATCTCTGATCTTTGCTCTCACCTGCCTGCACACCTTTGCCCTGCATCATTGCCACCAGCCTCCCCACTATCTCTTGGTCTTTGAGGGATGATAATCAAAATGCTTAACAACCCATTTCAACAAAACACTGACCCATCAGAATGCACAGCGGTCCTTAGCATGTGTGTTGGAAACTGTCTGCTTACTAGGCAGCAAACTTTTAGTTATGGGGAGGTGAAAGAGGTTACCCAGGGCAGGGGCTGGAGCAGCTTTGGGAGACACCTAGGCTCACAGCTTCTCACAGCTGCTACAGGAGCTGTGCGTTTTTACATTTGAACAAGGTGAACAGACATACAATATGTCCTGTACTTGCAGGACATCAGGGACCTTAGTTCTCTTGAATTGCTGCCTTCCTGAGAGAAAGCTTAAAACCAATCTCCCCACTTCTATTGCTTTAGGTCCCGGATTGGGGCCAGTGAGAGAAGCCACTCAGATCATTGTCTTTAGGGCCTCCAAATCTGAGTGGTGAATCTGGAGGGCAGAGAAGTCAGGGTGGGTGGAGATAGGAGGCTCTGGGACAGGAAGAGGTCAAGGAGGATCAGGGTGCTGAGAGGGGAGAGCCAGGGGTAGGGGCTCTGACATCCTAGATTCAGAAGTGGATTCAACCTAACTTTTGGCTTCCTCTCTCTTTACTTGTGAACTCCACCCCTTCACCACCATCTGTTTGGGGCAAAAAGGGAGGCAGCTGCAGGTTGGGGATGAGTGAGAGCCTTCCCATCCCATCAGGCCAGGCCTGAAGGGTACTAAGGTGAAAGTTGTTACCCTACACCCACTCCTATCGAGATTTAAGAGAAATCAAAGACGGTTCAGTCACCTGGGCTCCGGGTTGCAGCCTCTGCTTCCAGTCCCTTCCATAGGGTCCTGTTGTATTGGAGTTGGAACATTGGGGTAGGAGGGCCTGTCTGCATCCTTCTGCAGAATGCACTTGTGGCAGGAGGAGTTTGGGGGTGCATTCCAGGAAGGGCCTACTCCCAGGCAGAGGTCGCTGGACTCACCCCTTCCTTCTGGAGTGAGACTTGCTGGCCCTCAGCTGGGCTTCACCTCCCTACCTTGTTCTATTTCCTGACACAGATGTTTGGCTGTGGCTCTGTGGCCCAGGTTGTGCTCAGCCGGGGCACCCACGGTGGTTTCCTCACCATCAACCTGGCCTTCGGCTTTGCTGTCACCCTGGGCATCCTTGTTGCTGGCCAGGTCTCCGGTAAGGCCTTATCCCACCCTCAGTCATCACCCCTCAACAGCATTCTTACAGGTGTCCAGCTGGGGGGCATTCCCAAGGGCAGGGCATAACTGTGGCTTCAGCTTTCAGCCTTTGGAAAAAGAGTGGAGAAGGAACTTGATACTTAGAACCTTAAACTCTCACTTTGGAATAAGAGATTATCAGAGTTGGCCTGTTACATAGTCCACCCTGCCCTCTGGTACAAGAAATTCTTCTCTGCATCCCTGCTCACTGGGACAGACAGGGGGAGAATGGGGTTTGGGAATCCTGGCCTTCCTACGGTGGCAGGATGGCTAACAGAACTCATCTCTCCTCTGCCTAGGGGCCCACCTGAACCCTGCTGTGACCTTTGCCCTGTGCTTCCTGGCACGTGAGCCCTGGATCAAGCTGCCCATCTACACCCTGGCTCAGACACTGGGAGCCTTCTTGGGTGCTGGGATTGTTTTTGGGCTGTATTATGGTGAGCATTCCCCACCCTGCCCTCCTCCACAACACCCTGCCTCTGCTTGGGACCTGCTGGCACCACGCCTTTTGCTGACAGACAGCTGGGGCCAGCCCAGGCCCCAGGCTCATGACTCATTCATGCACAGGCCCAAGGTGGGGGGCACATGGGGAAAGAAACGAGTTAGGCAACAATGAAGTCTTAGGTCTTCTACCCTACCTGCCCCACCCCCTCAGACTCCAGAGTAATTCAGTAGTGATTATACTCACCCATGGGCCCTGGGAGAGTGGGCCCAGCCTGCAAGGGGAGACTGGACTTAGGCCTCTGCCCTCACCCACCTGAGGTCTCATCTGTCACTAGATGCAATCTGGGACTTCGCCAAGAATGAGCTTGTAGTCTCAGGTCCCAATGGCACAGCTGGCATCTTTGCCACCTACCCCTCTGGACACTTGGACGTGGTCAACGGCTTCTTCGACCAGGTATGGAGCACAGCGGGGAGGACCAAGCTTTTCTCGTTGCTCATAGGCTGGCAGGGGGACAGGACTCCTTGTCTATAGCAGGGGTGGTAATCTGTATGTGGGGACATCTACGTTAAGAATCATGATGGCAGGTAACCTGCAGACTTCTAGGAATCTGCATATTTAACCAGTTTGTCACAGGAACCTTATGCACATAAAAATTCTAGCAGCCCTGCTCTAGAGAGGAGAGCACAGAGATGACAAGGCTCTAAGAGTTGGAGGGAAGCCAAAGGACAGAAGAAGGGGCTGTTGGGGGGAGCTGCTCCTCACCCTGTTCCCCTACTCTGTAGCTCATTGGCACAGCTTCCCTCATCGTGTGTGTGCTGGCCATTGTTGACCCCTACAACAACCCTGTTCCCCGTGGCCTGGAGGCCTTCACTGTGGGCCTGGTCGTCCTGGTCATCGGCACCTCCATGGGCTTCAACTCTGGCTACGCTGTCAACCCTGCCCGGGACTTTGGCCCCCGCCTTTTCACTGCCATCGCTGGCTGGGGCTCCGAAGTCTTCACGTGAGTGCAGCCCCAGCCCAGCCTGCCCCAGCCTGCCTCCTCTCTGCTCTGCTCCACCTGCCCTGACCACATATTTCTTCTCCCAGGACTGGCCGCCACTGGTGGTGGGTGCCCATCGTGTCTCCATTCCTGGGCTCCATTGTGGGTGTCTTTGTGTACCAGCTCATGATTGGCTGCCACCTGGAGCAGCCTCCACCCTCCGTGGAGCAGGAGAATGTGAAGCTGGCACATGTGAAGCACAAGGAGCAGATCTGAATGGGCAGGGGCCACTCCCCACCCACCCTGCAGCTTGAGCACCCACTGACTGCCCAGAGGCTGCTCCCTAGGAGACCCCACGGTCCCCCTACCAAGCTGCAAAGTGCTTCGCCCTGCCCCACTGGACAGCCCCCTTCAGGATTTTCCCACCCTGATAAATAGGACCTGCAGCTGTGGTGGGACAGGGTGTAGGGCCAACATATTCATCTTGCAAAAGGAGAGAATGAGCAGCGGGTGTGTGAGTGAGTGAGTGAGTGAGTGAGTGAGTGAGTGAGTGAGTGAGTGTGTGTGTGTGTGTGTGTGGTGATTCTAGCTTTCAGGAAGCCCTGGGGAAGGGAGAAGGTGATGTGTCTATCTGTGAGTGAGCAAGGTACCAGGGGTCTGCATGGTTCAGGAGCTCCATGTGGAGGAGGGTCCAGATAGATGTGTTTCTGAGTTTGTGTGTCTGCCCTTTTTACTAAGCAGGGGATTTCTCAAGGCTTTGGGGGAAGTAGGGTGGGAATATGGATAAGGCTGGGAGGAGGGGGCCACAGCTGAGGTATGGAACTCAGGCTGTACATAAATAGGAGCCGACTAACATGTTTTGTCATAAGGTAGGCATGAGAGGGTGGGGTGAAGTCCAGGTCGTAAGTTTCATGTTTGCTCTCTCTTTTTTAAAAAAAACATATAGCAAATATTACAGTTTTAGGGATGGGGGTTGGGAGACTACTTTAAAGAGGGTCTTTCTTCTCTGGGGAAGGAAGACCCTCTTTAAAGTAGCCTTATTTCTCCTTTAATCCTCCACTTAACACATGTACTCTGCCTTTTATAAAAAAACAATAAAATGTATGCCTAAAACTGCCAATTGTACAAATAACTGCTTGCTCTGCTCTTGATCTGGGGCCAGTTAAGGAGTTTCAGGATGTCTGGCCACGAATATCCAGGGTGCCCAGCTGTGTTGTCTAAACTGGACAGGAAACCCTGAGGGTAATACTGCAGCCCTGCCCTGCAGGCTGTCAGTCATACAGGTCAGAGAGCCTCTTCACCAAGCCTCTCAGCTTGAACTCAGGGGTGACACATTTTCCCCTAAGCTTTCACCTCTTGGGAGCCCCCAGGACAATGAATGGCTTCCCTTCCTCATCCCTGCACCCACCCATCTTGAGCCTGGCGTAGGGGAACTTCCTCCCAGGCAGAGCTGGACCCAGTGATCCTCCGGGGAGGTAGTGCTGTCCACAAAGTAGTGAGCTCCCTGTTGCCAGAGGAGACCAATCAGATTGGGAATCTGTGTTGCCTTTAACAGCTCGAAGCTGTTCAGGCTCCACTACCCAGACCTTGGCCATAGCCCCTTCAGTAGCCTCCCAACCTTCAGGCCTGCCCTAATCAGTCCATACAGCAACCAGAGGGATCTTTCTGAAACCCCTGCTGAAAGTGGGCCTCTTTCTGAGGCTCTCCCTGCTGCCTAGAAATAATAGAAATCCTTCCATCCTGCATTCAGGTCCTCTAGAACCTGGCCCCTGTCCCTACATCACAAGGCGCCATCCACATCCAGACTACTATTGCGCCCATGAGCCTTCCTACCTTTGGGTCTTTGCTTCAAAGTGCCCACTCACTAAAATCCTAATCTTGCTCTAATGCCTTTTCCTCCAGAAAGTCATCCTTGCTCTTCCCCACAGTCCCTCCGTCTTCCATAGTCAGCTGTCTGAGCCCAGAGACCACAGCAGCATTCATCCCTCTCTTGCCCTCTGCTTCTGTTCTTCAGTCTGAGGCACCTCTGTGTCCTGTACGGCCAGTGTCGGACTGACTGCTCTGTGCCCTGACTACCCAGGCAGGCAAGTTGCTCAGCACACCTGAGCCCAGGAAGCTGTGTCAGGAAATCATGTGACCCTTTTCACCTTCTTCCTTACCAGATCCTCCTCAAGTTTCACCAGGAATGAAAGGGAAGGTGGCCTCAACCCAAGCCCTCCTGCAGAGTTAACCCCTGGGAGCCGGAGGATCACTGGGTCCAGCAGGAGAACTGTTTTTAGAGGTTTTTCAAGGCTAAGCCAGCTCTTGCTTCTCAGCCATTCACAGACGAGGAGACCATGGCCCAGGGAGGGTGGGTGGCAAATGCAAGGTCACATAGTCAGGACTCTGGGGAGTTGGGGGTGCGAGAATGTAGTTCCATCTCAGGCCTCCAACCTCCTTGTCCCCAGCTCCCAAGAGGTGTGTCTGGAATGTTGCAGGGATCCAAGCCAGAGGGAGTGTCTGCTTCCCAGGCCCTGGGGGTAGGAAGGGCAAACCTCAGGAGGGGAATGTGGCCTCAGAGTTTCATTCCAGCTACACTGGTCCCACCGTTGGTGCTCCCACCATGTTGTCCTCCCCAGCACAACCCTGCCTTTCTGTCATACCTTCCTCTCAAACCCTGAAGTTGGCCCTGAGCAGTCAGCCCAGAGGGTGGTAGGAGGCCTTCTGGCACAGTGGCTAAGGAGTAGTACAAACCTGGATTCCAGGCCCAGTGTGGTCTTTCTCTAGCTGTGTGACCTTAGAGTGGTCATTTTCTTTCCCTGAATCTCAGTTTCCTTATCTGTGAACTGGGAAATATTGACAGGAGGAGATAATGGAAAATAACTCATGAAAGGGACTTAGCACAGTGACCAGTGGATGGTAAATAGTCAACAAATGTCACCTCATTACTTTTCGGGCAGAATTGCAGGGGCAGCGGGTGGAGGAGAGATGCTGAAGGCTGTTTTTTAAAGGTCAGTGAATTCAACATTCTCTTCCGCCTCAGATTCTTTCCACAGATTCTGAATTTCCTGAGAAGGGGGAGGTGGAGTGGTGGTGATGGCTGGCTGTGCCCTGACCTGAGGAGGCTTTTGGGGAGGGGTAGAAGGGAGACACAAAATGGGGCCACATGCACAGGTGTAGAGGACAGAGTGTGTGGCCAAGGGGACATGTTGGGTGGAGGGTCAGACTGCATGAGAAAGGGTAAAGCCTGGCAGGGGCTGGGAGCACTGAGTCAGGCCAGGGGTCGGTAGGGACATGAGCCAAGCAGCAGTATATGACCCCTCCAGGGGCCAGAGGAAAGCTGCCTACCACCCCACTCATTTTCAGGCTGCCTCCTAACAGCAATTCTGGCTAATAGCAACTTCCAGGAAAAAAAAAATCTCTTCATCTGCTTGAGGAAAATCTCTTAATCCATTTTCCAGTGTGAGCTTGGAGGGAGAATCACTATGTGGTGGTGGGGTGGGTAGGCTGATCCCTGGCCTCATCTCTTTCCCTTCTTCCTGAGCCTCATCCTGTCCACAGCTAGCCTTGCAGGTGCCCAAGTTTCAGGGTTGAAATCAAACAATCCCTGAAACCCGAGCTTGGTTCCTCTTTCCTTGTGTGCCTCCCTCTGTGTGTGTGCACTCATGCAAGTGTGTATTTCTCCATGATTCTGGGTGTGCTTGTCTCTCAGTACAGCTGGTTGTGTCTCTGTGGGTCTGTGTCTCAGGCTAACCATGTCTTTGTGTCTCTGTCAGTGCCTGAGTCTTTGTGTCTGCATCTTTCTTTGTGAACTTTTAAGAGAACACCTTGTGTGCCCATCTCTGTCTGTACCTACCAGTGACTATCCTGCCAGCCTGTCCAGCTTATCCTACCCCAGGGCATGCCTCCTCCTTAATTCCTGGTTATGAGCTCCCTCCTTGCTAACTCTTTCCCCTTAATTTTGTTTGTCTGAAAACCTGGGCGGGGCCCCCTAGGCTTGGGGAAGCATGGGTGGAGTAGAGTTGGGTGGGGTGGGAAGGAGAGAAGAGGGACTACTCCACCCCTACAGAGACCCCAGAGGCCAGAGATGCCTTTGATAACCTAAGGAAGGGCCTGTGAAGGTTTTAGGTGGGCAGCGATCTGTACCTCCTCATTGGGAGGAGAGAGTCTGGCCTGGGGTGGGGTCCCCGAGTTGTGGACCAGGGCATGCTGGCAGTGCAAAGGGAGGAGTGACTGAGGCACAGGGGCCCTCAGGGAGTTTGAAGGGAGCTTACCAAGGAGCACAACTGAGTCCTAAGGGGCAGAGGAACCATGTGTCTGGCCAGCAGCTGGAGGTGGCCGCCTCAGGGCCCCAGCATCCTCACTCCTGGGGCCTCGGCCTTTGGTGCCAGGTTTATCTGAGGTAAAGGAGAGGCTCCATCTGGTCTGGGCACCTCGACTATCCCAGAGGGGCACCTACCTCTTCCTTCTGTAAAGGGTAACCTGAGGCCCAATGTCTCACTCATGGTCACAGAGCAGTGCAACAGGGCCTGGACTAGAACCTGGTTTTTTGTCCCCAACCTGCCTCCCCTTGACCTCTTTTTCCCAACAACACTTTACGCCATCTGAGGTATCAGGGCTTCGGGCCCCTATCACCTGCAATCCAAGCCAGCCCTTCCCAGCCATGGGACCTCAGGCATGTGGAGGTCTCCATAATTCCCCAGATCCAAGCTCCAGCCTTCTCGAGAGGGCCTTCAGGAGGCTAAAATCAATGGGCTGCATCGCCTGGGCTTCTTTCCCACTGGCTTCTAGGTGGGTTTGGTAAGTGGGAGGCACAGTCAGGAAATCAGAGGGCAGAGAGGGTTATGTGGGGTAAGGGAGAAAGGTCAGGTATTCATGCCTTTTAAGGGTTTTCACTGTGTTCCAGTAATACTGTTCTTTCCCCTCACCCCCTCTGGCCGAGGGGGGAGTGGCTGCCTGCTGTTAGTCCCCAGGACATCCCTTGTTGCTCCCTGGGACTTTGTCCCCACTTTTGTAAAGAGTCTCTTCATAAACCTTTTCCAGGGATGCTCTTCAAGGATAAACTTCCTACTGGATCCCTGACAGATTCTACCTCTCTGCTCTTTAACTTCCCCTTCTGTAAAATGGGGATAGTACCTACCTCATTAAGTTGCACAAAGTGAGGATTAAGTGAATTAACATATGCACAGAACAATGCTCACTGTAGTAGTAAGTGCCATAGAGTAATATCACTCCTGCTATTAACATGCTTCCTTGTGAGTGACCTGTGTATTGTGGGGTGGGAAAGTGTGCAGTCAGGCTTGGAATGAGATGCCTGACTTTCCAAGGCTGTTCTTCCAGCTCCCAGCTATTTGGGAACTTCGCTGGGGCCTCAGTCAGTCTAGGAGTCTAGTCTCAATCCCTCCAAGTGGAGCCAGTTTTTCTTGGGAAGACAGGTCAGTGGAGATGAAAGCCAGAGCCCCTTTCTTACCTTAGCTCTTTTCCAGAAAACTCAGGCTCCTGAAAAAGGAAGAGGTGGATACCCTACCATTCTGTTGGGATCTGGGAGTCTGAAAAGGGTTGAGAGTGGTTGTGATGATGCATTAGGGATTTAGAGGGTGAATATATATACATAGGGTCAGGGAGAGAGCAATACCAGGGAAGGTGGAGGCAGAAACAAAATATAATCTGGGGTTTCTGACCTTTCAGAGCCTGATCAGGAATCTTTCCTCAGGACTCACTGCCATCCCACTTAGGCAACTCAAGAATGGGACAGAAACCAGGACAAGTATTATGACTTCAGGGGCCTTTTCCAGCTCTGACCAATATACTGGGAGTTTCAGCAACTTTAGGAGAAGTAAAGGGTTTGTGTCCCTTGACCCACCCATCCCTGCATATGGCCAAAGTACAAGAGGCCTGGGGGGCTTAGTGGGGGTGCTGTGGAACAGTGAAGCTTGCCAGTGGGATGAGATTATAAGTAGGCTGCAAACCAACTGAGCAGACCTGCTCAGGGTCCCATCTCTTGGCCAGCTTGGTCACACCTTCAGGTCAGAGTGAGACATGATGTGGTATGGGGAAGAGGCGAGTGTGACCTTTTCCTGTCTCCAGTGCTCTCTGGAGTTATAGCCTTAAGCCAGATTCAATCACCTCTACTCGCTCTGC